CAGCAGCGCTTTTTATCCGTTTTTTGGGGGAACCCCCTCATATATAACTAGGTTTAATTAACTCCTCTTGAAATAAGTTTCCTATTGCCTGTCTATTTGTCTATCTACTGATGTATCAGAATATATATTCTTTCTGCTATAAACATATTTACAAGAAACATAAAATTACAGATTAGTAAAAATTGATGTATTTATACCGTATCTCTTGAGTTCTTCTGCCTAGTTTAAAATCCTTCTTGAGTCAAAGAAGAAAGTGATGAAAAAAATAATACTGTAGTGGGAGACAAATTAAAAAAAACAACTTTAACATGCTGTCATACGTAAGAGGCCTGTTGGTGCTGCTTAAATCACTATTTTGAATCCACCAAATGCTTTGTGGGAGATATGGCAATCTGCTTCCACAAACATTTACAGCCTTAGAAAATTTATGGGAGTTCTATCCTACAGGGTTTTCCTGAGCAGGGATTAGCTTGACAGCAGTTGGTTTGGGTATTATATAAGTGTGACAATAAAGGCATGTACATCCATTCGAGTGAACAGTGAAGAATCAATTCTAGCTGGCATACAGTAATACCGAGTGGCCTACAATAGAAATGGCAAAAAGGCCTTCTAGGCAAATGAAAGAACAAAAGGCAATGTGCTTTTCTGAATAATGTCAAGTAGGCTAACAAGGTCTGTGGGATGGGATAGCTAAGAGGCTGGGACCAAATTGTAAAAGGTCTTAGGAATGATGTTGAAACATATAGTTATCCCGCTGGCCAGCTGTTTTCAAACTATACTATGTCGAGCCAAAATAGTATGGCCAGCTGTTTTCAAACTAAACCATGTCGAGCCAAAATAGTATGATTAGTTTGAAAACGAAAGTTGGGGTTTTAAGTACCCAGTTATTTAGTACTTATGGAATTTCTCCTACATGTCAGGTGCCTATCTGATGGTAAATCTGCTGAGCACTGGAATACTAACTTCAAGGCCATCATTTCAAACCTACCAGCCACTCTGAAGGAGAAGATGGGTTGTCAGCTCCTGTAAAGATTTACATCCTCAGAAACCCCAGGGATTTCTACTCTGCTCTACATGGTTGCTACAAATCAGAATTGACTCGGTAGCATTGGGAATATGATTGGGATTACTAATGAAGATAAATACTAGAGACTTTGGTACGGATTAAATCTCCACAAAAAACAAACAAAAATCTTCATAACTGGACCCATAAACAATATAATAAACAGAGGTTAGTTGTCAAGGGTTTCCTTTTACTTGGATCCACAATCAATGTCCATGGAATAAACAAAACAAAACAAATTACAAGATGCGCAAATCTACTTCAAAAAATCTCTTCCAAGTATTAAAAAGCAAAGATGTCACTTTGAGGATCCAAATTAAAGTATTTGCAATTGCTTCATATTCGTGTGGAAGCTAAACAATGAATAAAGGAAAACCAAAGAAGAACCGGTGCCTTTGAATTATGATGTTGGTAAAGAATGTTGAATATACAACGGGCTGCCAGAAAAACGAAATAAATTCATCTTGGAAAAGGGGGGTTGCTGGTCCAGTTAAATCCAAGGCAGACAGGAAGCTATTACTTGCTGATTGTTTTCTGGGATTTCCAAGGAATCTTAATAGATTTTTTTTTTTAATGCTACAGATAATGGGGTCTTTCCAGAACAAAAAAATCCTATCAATGTGAATGAGGGGGAGTGCAGAGTGGAGACACAAAGCCCATCTGTAGACAATTGGACACCCCCTTATAGAAGGGTCACAAAAGACACGAGCCAGTCAGGGTGCAGTACAGCAATGATGAAACATACAACTTTCCTCTAGTTCTTTAATGGTTCCTCCACTCCACCCCACCCACCCACACTATCATGAGCCCAATTCTACCTTACAAATCCAGCTAGACCAGATCATGTACACCAGAGCTGGAAAGATGGGGATCCAGGACAGATTAAACCCCTCAGGGCTAATATTGAGAGTACCGATACCACAAGGATAAGGGGAAGGTGGGGAGAGGGGGAGAAAAGAGGGACCAATCACAATGATCTACATAAAACGCCCTCCCTGGGGAACGGACAACAGAAAGTGGATGAATGGAGACATCAGTGTAAGACATGAAATAATAATAATAATTTATAAGGGAAGATGGGGGAGGGAGGAGGAAAATGAGCTGATACCAAGGGCTCAAGTAGAAAGACAATGTTTTGAAAACGATGATGGCAACAAATGTACAAATATGCTTGACACAATGGATGTATGTATTTTGAAAAGAGCTGTATAAGCTCCCAATAAAATGATTTAAAAAAAAAGGGGGGGTCTTTCTTATAAAGAAGTTGATTCTTATTTATTTATTTATTTATTTTTTGATTTTTTTTCTTTTAAAAAAATCATTTTATTGGGGGCTCATACAACTGTTATCACAATCCATACACACATCAATTGTGTAAAGCGCATTTGTACATCGTTTCTCAAAACATTTTCTCTCCATTTAAACCCCCGACATTAGGTCCTCATTTTTCCCCTCCCTCCCCGCTCTCCCCTCCCTCATGAGCCCTTGATAGTTTATAAATGGGTATTTTGTCATATCTTGCCCTGTCCGACGTCTCCCTTCATCCACTTTTTGATTGTCTGTCCCCCAGGGAGGAGGTCACACACAGTTCCATATAATCGGTTCCCTCTTTCCTACCCATTCTCCCTTTACCCTAGAAGTTGATTCTTTAAGAGGGTACAATGGGCTCTTCTATGAGAATGTCCTCAGTAAACTTTATTCCATTCACTCTATAGTTCTGATCTTGCTCCTTCAGACTTCATTTTGTTTCCAAAACTTAAAAAAACAGCAAAAGGAACATAATGAGTCATTTGAGGATGTCCAAACTGCTGTCTTTACATGGTGTAAATCAGAGTACAATCTTCTAAGAAGTGTTAGATGCAGACCCTACTTTCAGAAGTACATAGACGTAGATGGAGAATATGTCAAGAAACAATAGTGTCACATTTCATTATTTTTAATAAAGGTTTCTATACATTTCTAACATGACTTTCCTCCTTATACTCCTTGTATTTTCATGGGGGAAACATGCATAAAATCAAACACAGAAATGATTAGATGATAGTATTATGCAAAAACAGAAAAGCAGTAAGAGTGGATGAGAGTATGTCTGCACACAAGAAGGTAGTATCTGACCAAAAACTAGGGAACAAGTCAAGTATGTGAAAGAGGAACATTTCTGGCAATAGTGCTAACAAGAGTTAAGGTCTTAAAAAGTGCTAGCAAAAGTGTTGAAAGATTAGAACAGGTAGGAAACAGACCATTTATCTAGAAAATGGCTGAGGTTTCAGTTTTTATTATTTGATCAGTTAAGGTAATGTTATCTGGTTACAAATTTTGCTGTTTTCCCACATAGAAGCAATTTCTACCTGCCATCAATTGCATCTTAAAGGTACATTTTTCACAATATTCCATAAAATGCAATTATGTCCTGAGTTTACAAACATAAATAATTTGAAGTAACTTTCTACTGTCAATGTCTTATAAAGACAGTACATATAGGTTGTAAGAAATGAGACCATGGGCAACATACTTTAACAGAATGTGAGAACACCACCTCAGGAAGACTTCTAATTATGTCTTTACAGTTCATTTCTTACACATTTCTCCATCTTGCTAATGACATTAAAATTACAAGTGCTGCTTTATCAGTCGTTTACTCTGTTGGTAGGGACATAAATTGGGTAACCTTTCTGAGAGGGCAATTAATGTCTTTAGAAATCTTTAAAACGCTCACATCTTTTTAGTTAGATATCTTATGTTTAAAAATTTCTCTAATGAAGTAAAAATGGAAGTACTCTTAAATTCTAGTTATTAGAAAATTTTAATAGTAGAAAAACAATTACAATCAGAATTCTTATAAGCATTTAACAAAGACTATAAAAATTATTAACAGAAAATTCCCTTTAAGACTACCTAGACATTTTGGAGCATTCAACATATTGGCAGCCTTTCTTTGACAACTCTGGCTCTTTTAAGTATTCGGTGCCTGGCTCTGGTTTCCAGTTCTAGGCCCGGTTCTCTTAAAGAGTATGACTTTAATTGCCATGTGCTACAAGCTACGAGCTACCCTAACTTCAGCCTGTAGCTGGAGTTCACTGACTACCCAAATGTCTTTATCTCTCCAAATAATTCTCTAACAGGCAACTTAAATTTAAAGCCCAAAATAGAACTCTAGACTTTCTCTATCTTCTTACCAGTCATTGTCTTGCAAGCCCCAGTGTGCTGACCCCTGGTCTATGCAAATTAAATTTCCTCCCATCCAGTTTTTAGTAGAACCTGTGCACTTCTCAAAATATATCCCAATTGTCTACTTCTTCATTCCTACAATCCCGTCTAAGGCCACTAACATTTCTGATCAGATCTCACTGCATTCCTGGTCTCCTCTAATCAATTTCCCACAAGGAAATAAGACTCTCTCCTGCTTAAACTCCTCTAAGAGTTGCCTTCTGCACTTTGAACAAAGCCAAACCTAATTATGATCTACAAAATTCTACATAACTTGGCCCTCTGCCTCTCTCCATAACTTCATCTTCACACCTCTCTCCAATCACACAGGTTTTCTTACAGTTCAATTAGCTATCTAATTCCTGCCTCAAGCCTTTCACTCTGGAATGATCTTGATTTAAGCTAGCTCTGTCTTATCATTCATATCTTATATATTCCCTAGGATGTAAGTTCTACGGGTGCAAACACATTCACTGTCAAGTCCAAAAGTACTGGCACAAAGCAGTCTATAAATACATTCAAATTAATAACAAATGCATATAAAAACTTAAAAAATATGCAGTAGAAAAATAATTTTCTATAAAGATGTTATGGTACGCTATGTAAAAAATGACATCTGTGTAAAAAGGTACAGAAGGAATAAAAAATGTGTTGGTAGGTGCTATCTCTGGGCGACTCTTTATATATCTCAAAAACAAAATACAAGTAAATTTATTTAAATATTGCTTACCTTCAAAAAAGGAATGACTTCTTTCATAATTGCTTTAATTTGCCGGTCCAGCTGCTGTGTATCAATTCTAGGGCAAGGGACGTTAGAAACGTCACTTACAGGTTGTTGTGAACTATGATTTTCAATAATGGGAGCTTCTGTTTTTCAAAAGAAAATGATGTATCAGCAAAATAAGGCCTTTAATTTTTTAAAAACAGGATTCTTATTAACTGTATATGAAAATACTACCAACAATGTGTCTCATTTTACCCCCCTTATAATGAATAGAAGCTGTAAAGAAAAATCACTATGAAGCACGAGTGAGTTTATGTTAAGGGGGTAGGGAAAACTTAAGAAAGGAGAATGACAATAGTTGCGCAATTCCAAGAGACAATCAACATCACTGAATTGTATACATAGAAATTATTGAATTGGTTGATGCTCTGCATGCATATTCAACAAAAATTAATAGCACGATGACTTTCATTTTTGGTCTAAACAAGAACACACCTTCTAAATTATTCATTGTAGCAGTGCCATCAACACCATCTTCATCTTCAAGAACCCTACAGGTGCATTTTATATCTGGGTTGCAGTCAGCTTCCGTCTTCATACGCTCATATTCCCTCATTCTAGCTAATGCTTGATCTAAGTGGATTACAGTATTACCTGCATTTAGAACAGAAATATTTCTAGAAAATGCAACAGAAAACTTTTCACTCAATCCAAAATACACTAATTGGAAAAAAAAATCTGAAAATAAGTAAGAAAAATTAGCTTGAACAAGTTCTAGGTATTGCATTATTTGGCACATCACAGATCATGATCACATTTAAAAGTCTAATTCTTAGCATAAGTTTTGGAAACAAAATGATGTCTGAAGGAGCATAAAACTTTTGCTACTGAATCTATTTCAAGTCATAGTGTTCCTATAGGGCAGAGTAGAATTGCTGCATAGGTTTCCCAGGCTTTATAGGTGAAGACTGCCTTATTTTTCTCCCGAGTTCTTTTGTGGGTTTGAACTGCCAATCTTCATTATCAGCCAATAGCTTTAACAAATGTACCACCTGGGCATCTATAATAGATGCTTAAAAAAAAAAAATTGCCACTAAGTCTTCCAACTCAAAGTGACCCGATAGGAGAGAGTAAAACTACTCTTTAGGGTTTACGAGACTGCAAATCTTTACGGGAGCCGAAAGCCTCATCTTTCTTCTGCAACAGCTGGTGGGCTTGAACCACTTACTCTTCAGTTACTGGACCAGTTACTGTGCTACCAGGGTTCTTTAGATTAGATCTGAGGTCAGTAAACTTGAGATGAAGAGACTAACCTGTCCCTCACAACAATTTAAAAATTATTCAAGAGTCACGAATATGTTTAATAAACAAATGAGATCACTGTTCTGAGGAATATGCTTTAAATTTTTTCAATTTTACTCTAGAGTGGTGGTTCTCAACCTGTGGGTCATGACCCCTTCGGGGGTTGAGCGACCCTTTCACAGGGGTCACCCGATTCTTAACAGTAGCAAAATTACAGTTATGAAGTAGCAACGAAAATAATTTTACGGTTGGAGGGGGGGTGACCACAACATGAAGAACTATATTAAAGGGTTGCAGCATGAAGATTGAGAACCGCTGCTCTAGAGCCACATGCATCTACCAGAAAAGCTGTACACGGCTCTCAAGCCATAGTATGCTGACCCCTGGACTAGACGATACTATTAGATGATACTACTCTTAAAATGAACTTAAATGACTTTTCCAAGGCTTCAGAGCCAGTTAAATGTAGTGATTTGAACTCCGGTTTCTCACTCTTGAGCACATATTTCACTACTACATCAATTAAGCAGTACCAATAAAGAGAAGAAAAAAAATTTAATCTGATGCAAATCCTAATGAAAACAATCAAACATAATATACAAGTAAGGTAAGGTAAAAGCTTAAGAATGAGATTTTTCCATTCCCCAAAGTTCATTTTCAGCAATGCTCATGATAAAGGCTAATTAAAAGGAGTAAGTAAATGAAAGAAAACAGGTAGTGTTCAAGGCAGTAATTCAGAAAGGAGAAAAGAGTTAGGAGGGGAAGTGCTTGCAATAGAGTCATGTTGCTTTGTAATGGGATGAACTCAACACAGATCTGGCAGATGTTTACTCAGCAGGCATTGGGATTAAGAGTGCAACAATCAGAGTAAAGCAAAAAGATCTGTTTTGGCAAAAGTAAGGTTGTTACTTTCTTTTATAGTGACTTTACTTTTCAAATGACTCTGAAAAATACTCTAAATTGTATTCTCATCTTGTGACCACCAGAACAGTAGATATTAGGCTAATTCATCAAGTACTGGGTGGCTTGAGTGACTATACCAATGTATGTTTTAAAAGGTCACAATTTGAGGAATGAATCAAATACATACATTTTCTATAATATCATTAACAAGTCTAGGATTCAGACTCTGCCTCATTTAGAATTATGACAAACTTCATTTATTTAAAACAAAGAAATGTTAGATGGGTTTTTCACTACAGACTTTTTATGCTAAGAAATTTCAGTTCTCCACTCAAATTATGAGGTGAAGATTTTTACTGAAAATGTGATTAGATGTGAAATTCTAACTTTCCCTTAAGAGAAAGAAAAGGAAATTGACTCATGGTGAGGGCTAGAATGGTCTATGGATTTTTCATAAGAAGGATTCCTATTTCTTCTAAATATGCAGAAAGAGTTACAAAGGTTACATGATTTGCCCAAAGTAAAAAGAGTTGAAGAGATATTTCAATTTGTATGTATTAATAGGTTTAAAGTCCATTTTCTTTCTACCACATCCTACCTTTCTAGATGTTTCCTTAGCAATGTAATTCAAAGACCAGACCAACGTCAAGTTCTATTATTATATAGAAAATTCTGCTTACCCAGGTCATCTGTTGCAAAAGGCTCAAAATTTGAAGACACAGATATGACACTAGCATTATCAACATCATTCTGATCAGTTATATTATGTGTTTCTCTTTCAAAGTTCTTCTCAAAGGTTTCCTTAGTAAAAACAAACACATCCATAATCAGTAATACACTTTTTAAAATCACAAATCTAAGATGGAAGCTAAGAATTTGCATAAAACCACACATCTAAAAGAGACAGTCTTATGGCATGAATCTTGTACCCAAACCAGATGGTGGTATAACTAAAACCAGTTAATGTCAGAACATTAAAATATTAAGTTGTCTTAAAGAACATCTATTTTTATTTATGAAGATGAAAATACAGTGCTAATTACTGATCAAATTCTAAAATGAGGTTGTTAATTTTAAAATTATTTTTGAACTCTTAGAACACTATCTCATTTTTAAACTCTACTGATGCTATCTTACTATACTTGGTTGACCCATATCAGAAGGAAAAATAAGACAGCAGTCCTATTTTTCAAATTAGCTTTACTAAAATATAATTTATATTCAATACACTTATTTTAAGTGTATATTTTGGTGAGTACTGACAAATGTAGTATACACTCATATAACAACTTTCCCAAAAGATAAAGGCCATTTCATGAGCCTCAAAATTCCTTTGAATCCTTCTGCAACCAGGAAGCACCCACACTGCACCCATAAAATTTCTATAATCACAGATTAGCTTTGCTAATTCTGATCTTTATCTTAATGGTACCATACTCCACACTTCACTGGCTCTTTTTACACAGTATGTTTCTGAGGTTAATCCACGCTACTGGATCTTTCACAAGTTTATTGTTTAATCACTGAATAGTATTTTATTACATATTCAACAGACAGATATGTCAGTATGTTCATTCATATATCTTTTGATATTCTTGCTTGAGGCTATCAAGAATAAAGATGTCATGACAAATAGTGCAAAGTCTAACTTTGTAAGAAACTGCCAAAATGCTTTCCAAATTAGCCGTGCAATTTTATATTCTGACCAGCATGTGAACTATTCTAATTGATCCACATTTTCACCAATACTTTAGTCAATCTTTTACCCCCTAGCGGATGTGACGTAGTAACTCATGTGATTTTATTTGCCATTTCCATAATGACTAAATGCTATTGGGCAGGTTTTATTTGCTTACTGAACATTAACAAGTGTCTTTCATGAAGTGCTTGCACAAATCTCTTGCACAATTTTTACTGAGTTGTCTTATAACCGAGTTTAAGAGTCCTTTATATAGTCTGTATACAAGTAATTTGTCATGTTATTTATAATATTCCCAATTTATGAGGGGTGTCCCCCAAAATAGCAAAATCCCACCCTCCAAAAGCTATGTATTTAAATTTTTTTACAAAACAACCCTATCACCTTCAAAGTACTTCCATTATACTTAATACATTTGTCAAATCTGCAATTCCATTCTTGGAAACAGTTTTCAAACTCATGTGCTTGGATGGCTGGTAGCACTTCCCTCGTTTTTTTTTCACCTCTTCTACATGGTCAAATAGCTGTCCTTTCATGTCCCTCTTCATTCGAGGAAACAAAAAGAAGTCACATGTACTGAGGTCAGGTGAGTCAGGTGTGTGGGCTAAGAGACATGCTGTTTTTTGCCAAAAACTGGCGCACTGAGATGGCTGCGTGAGCAGGTGCATTGTCATGCTGGCAAAACCAGTCCCCGGTCTGCTACAAATCAGGCCTTTTTTGTCGCAGCTATGCAATCTTTTCAGAACCTCTGAATAGAAAGTTTGATTAACAGTCTGACATGGTAGAACAAACTTCAAATGCACTATTCCCCTCCAATCAAAAACCAAATGAGCATCATCTTGATCTTTGGCTTCACCTGATGCGCTTTTGGGGGGCAAGATGGTGATGGCATCTTCCACTTTGTTGATTGATGCTTGATTTCAAGGTCGTAACAATAGCGCCATGTCTATAGATAAGAGCACACAGGGAATCCAAGACAGATAAATCCCTCAGGACCAAAATTGACAGCAGCCATACCAGGAAGTGAAGGGGGAAGACTGGGGGAACCTATCACAATGATCTACATATAAACCCATCCAAGGCGGATGGACAACAGCAAAGTGGGTGAAGGGAGACACTGGTCAATGTAAGACAGGAAAAAAATTATAATAATTCATAAATTATCCAAGGCTCATTCGGGAGGGAGGGTGGGAAAAAAGGAGGCGTTGTATCAAGGGCTCAAGTAGAAAGAAAATATTTTGAAAATGATGATGGCAACAAATGTACAAATGTGCATGACACAATGGAATGTGATGAGTTGTACCAGCACCCAATTAAATGATTCAAAAAAAAAAGAATAGCACCATATCTCATCACCAGTAATGACCTTGGAAAAAATGTCTAGGTCACTTTGGAGCTGTTCTTTCAAAGCACAGCATGTTTCCTCCAGTTGATATTCTTTTTGCTGGCCAGTCAGAACCTGAGGCACAAATTTAGCAGCAACCCTTCTTATCCCCAAATCTTCTATTAAAATTCGCTGAACCAAGCTCCAAGATAGTTCAGATAACTCCCCCATCTCTTCAATGGTCTGTTGTTGGCCTCGAGCACAAGTGCACAAATTTTGTCGACATTTTCGTCCATTTGGAAAGTTGATGGACGTACAGAACGAGGTTTGTCATCAATTGACATTTCACTTTTTGGAAATGAGAAAACCACTTGTACACTTGAGTTTTTCCCATAGTGTTGTTCTTGTAAGCTGTGTTCAACATCACAACAGTTTCTGTGGCATTGTTCCCAAGCAGGATACAAAATTTCACAGCTGAACAGTGTTCTCTTAAATTGGCCATTACAAACAAATTTCACAGCTGCATGCTGTTCTCATAAATCAGCCATCATAAAAAAACAAGGTCGAGCAAAACCGCTTTTATGAAAAAATTCAGTGACTAGAGAGAACCTTCCCAGGTGACACCACTGGGTGCACCAACTCAAGAGGGGAGTTGCTTGATGCTTGCCCAGCGGGAAAATGTCTAGTATGAAAGCTCCACCAAGAGGAGCTTTTGTCTGTTTTTTGGTAGCTCCTCATATATATACATTATGAAATATTTCCTCAAATCATGTTTTAAAGAATATAAAGATTTTAAGTAAGATTTTAATTTTAAGTCTAATTTGTTCATTTTTTCCCTTTTATAATTAATGGTTTTTTGTCTTAGGAAATCTTTGCCTTGCCACAGTCATGAAGATTACCTCCTGTTTTCTTTGATAAGTTTTAGCTTTCATAGGTCTATGTATGAGTCATATAAAAGATCTTACACTGTGAATTCTATACTGTGAATTAGAGGTTTCACATTCTGACTGAATCTTAAAATTGCGGTTTTTTATTCCTCAACCATTGATCTTTCCATGTTTTCTATTTCCAATCATAAAATCAAGGTTTTGTGTCTACGGAAACTCAGGTATTAGGGAACTTGTTTTATGGAACAGAGTGTACAAAGTGAATGTAGTAGGCTACAAATGATCAACACGGGGCTAGTGGCATAAACCCCCACACAGCTGAAAATTCATGTGTAATTTACAGTTGACAATTGAACAACACCGGTTTGAAGTACAAGCCCCTTCTATCTGTGGTACTTTTTTTCCTGTTGCTATTGTGATCAGCTCAAATTTGAGAGTATCTGCTTAAAATGCTCTGTAAGCTGTCTCTCCAGTAACAATGAGAGCAAACTGTTCACAGGGGTGTTTTAAGTAAAATGATCACTGCATTTGATTTCAAATAGGCTAAGCATTTAGAACTAAAACAAAAAAGATGTAATCTCCAGCTAAATTGGAGGATATAGTTTATTGAATTTACACCATGCTCCTCATGATTCTTTTCTGTTTCTTGGTACTTTTTATTCAAACGCTGCTTTCTCTAATTAAGCTGCATTTCTAGCCCTAGTGATTTTCTTTTATCTTTGCTTTTTACTCTAAAACCTGATGTACCTTGACTTTCTTTCTTTTTAAGCAAAAAGGAAAAGATTTATTGGTGCCCATACGGGAAACCCTAGAGGGGCTCGGCATACCCTACTGTGTAGGCATGCGCAGGTAAAGGGTCACACCATTCACTGTACCCCCATGTCCCAGGACTCCCCTCGAGCCGAGCTCCAAAGCCCCAGGACTAGCTGGGGGTGGGGACGAATTTATTCACTTAAGGATCTTTACTAACTGCTATTGATTTGCTGATTATCTTGACTGAAAACAACACATACTTATTAATTAAATGTCAAGTCCCATCTTGGACAATAGAATTAGAAATATAGTTATTTAAAATCTTATCATCTACACACATATAATTTTTAATGTATAATGGTATCATAATTTGATTTGCATACTTCACTGCAAAAAATGTAAATGATCATCCTATAGTTTTCATAAATGCCCAAACCCAAATATATTAGATATGCTTACTGATGGACAACAATCTATTTAACCTTTGTTTACTGCATACTGAAATCATGTCTAGTCATCAGCTTACATCATCAGTCGTAGCAAGACTTTCACTGGGAGTAAGTTCTGAGTTTGATGCTATCCAAGTGCCAGAATTCACAGACTTCATATTTTCCTCTTCTTTTTCATGACTCTCAGAAATATGTCTGGATACTATATCCTAAACAAGGAAATAAGATAGCTTTGGTATTACACAATTAAAAACAAGCGGATGAATGAATACAATATTTCTCATCTCACAGGTAAACTGTGAGGAAGAAATAGCATATTAAACATGAACACTGTAAATTTCTCAGAATAAGACTTTTTTCTAAAAAATGCATATACAAGTAGTTTACATCAAATGAAAAGAAAACACTAAGAAACAGATCAAAGCGCACATGGGAGAACATGCTTTACTCCTGGAAGGAACCAGATACAGTAATACTGAAAGGTGTTAACAGATAAGGTAGTAGATACCTGCAAAGCATACAAAGCTCTCTGCCTCAAGTAGTCTGTATTAAGTAGCTGAAGTTCATGAAAGAGTTCGATAAGAAAATGTGGACGAGACTCATTTTGAGAAATTAATGTTGCTACTTCAGAATAAATAGTATCCCGCAAGGCTTCAAATAAGGAAAAATCACTCCCAGTTTCTAGAAAACATAAAGGAGCAGAAAACCAAGTTGATGAAATAGCCTCATGACACTACCTATTAATTTGTATCATTGCTCATAAGTTTAAATTAATTGAAAATCAAAACACCAATTCTATTTCAGGCCCTTTAAAGTAGGGAAAAAAACCCTTAAAATTAGTAAGATAAATAAATATTTTATGTTAAAGAAACATTTAAAAACACAATTAACATTACCTAACACTTCTTAGATCACACTTATTTCTCAGTTTAAAAATATTTGGAATCATAGGGATAACCAGTGAAAATCTTTTGGAATGTTGATTACCGTATATACTCAAGTACATGCTGACCCGAATATCAGCCCGTATATACTCAAGTACATGCTGACCAGAATATCAGCTAAGGCACCCAATTTTACCACAAAAATTGCATTAAAAATGTGCCGGAAAACTCGGTTTATACACGAGTATATAAGGTAATAAACTGAAAATAATGCTAATAGTGATGAAAGCAGACTACTGTTATGGTAGCTATTGCTTAACGTCTACTAATTCTCAAATTCTATCTACGGTACAGAAAAAAAAGTGCTATACTAATAAAAAATTTAATGTACAACTATAATATGGTGGTTCAATTTCACTACTGTCTTATTTATATACTCAGTAAAAGCTGAAATAGTCACAGAGTGGTACAAACAGACAATGAGCTTAGCTACTAAGTGTAAGGGCAGCAATTCAAAAGTCTAGAGGAATCTCAGAAGGCTGGGTAATCTACTCCAAAAATTATCAGCCAAGGAGAATACTATGAAGCATAGTTCTACTCTGACATACAGGAATTGTAATCAACTTGACGGCAACTAATTTTTATAAGCTAGAAATGGTAGTGTCCAGTTTCACAAAATCAAAGACCTACTCTATTATTGAGCTTTAACTCTTCTATACATATATACATGTATATTTATATTTACTTTTGGAGACTATAACTATTAGATACACAAACATTTACTGTTAATACAGTAATTATCCTTAAAGGTATGCATTCCTATTTTTATTCTAAGAGTACAAATCAGAACTGTTCCAATTTTGAGCACTCTATGGAAAAAGAAGACATCTCCAAGTGGCTCTTCTAATTCTCAAAGGCTGTATAGAGCAATCAAAGAACCTCAGTAAATATTCAGGTTCCACAAAAATCAGTGACTAGATTCTATGAAAGGAAATTTAAAATGCTAATTATTTATAGTTTTCTAATTAAGGGTGAAAAGATCATAAATTTCATTCTTTTTTTGAAAGAAGGATGAGAATATACAAGAGGAATGTACTCAAAAACAAAAACATTCAAGTGTCAATTTCCACAAGTATAAAATATAATGAAAAAATGCCACTTCTTTCTTGCCTCAAACAGTTATGACAGGTACAAAGTTTGTGAAACAAATTCACTTCCTTAAATTCTCTTTCCACAAACTTTTTGAAATCACCTTATAAAGTTCTTAAAATTTAAAATATCTAAGTAAGATTTATCAAAGATTTAACAGTATATTTTAATGCCATCTTTAATATTTGTGTATTTGTCACCCGAAATTATGTATAAGTAAAGATGACAATATTCTGATATAATACATTATACAAACACATGCTTATTCCTCCCCTCAGCAATCAATGAGGTAGAAAATGTATATGAGTTTTCTCTCCTGTACTTACAATAATTTAGTTCAGTCTGGAAAAATCCCTGATTTTATTAGGTTTTTTTAATTCCACCTTGTTTTTTAACCTCTCTGGTTTCAGAGTTCTTTTCTTTATAAGTGCTTCTGATATAATCAACTTGTCCTTGTTTCACTTCTTAAATTGCTCTAAAGGACTCTCCAAAAAAAACCCCCAAAACACACACACACACACACACACACACACCCGCCATCAAGTTGATTCTGACTCAGAGGGAGAGTCAAACTGCTCCCTGGTCTCCGAAGTTGGAAACTACAGGAGCAGAAAGGCTCATCTTTCTCTCTAGGAGCAGCTTGTGGGCTTGCACAGGCAACTTTGCATGTAGCAGCCCAACGCATTACCCACTATGCCACCAAGAGTGCCTACATTATCACTCCTGGACAATTAGTTGCAATAGTTAAGGGATATTTATAATTCAAAATCATTCAGAATGCATTTAATGAAACTACATAGTGTAAGGCTTAAAGATGTATTTTGGGATCTTTCTAGTTTTCTATGACCTTTATCATGGTCTTCAATTGTCAAAATTATGTACTATTTTAAATAGATGTTGATCGGTAATAAAAAATAAGCAAACTACAACACAAAACATATGTTAAGACCTGACACTAAATCAGAGCCAGGAATGAAAAATAACTACAATTTATTTTTTAAGAAACATTAATGCCTTTAAGAAACATGAAAGATTCCTTATCTTTAAGAATTCTCATTTTTATAATGGTGAACAATAAACACCAAGCTAAATCTAAGAAAAAATAAAAAAACAAATCAAACCAATAAAACCCATGATTCCAAGACCAATGGGAAAAAATTAACAAGACGTGGACACCAAAACTAAGCAGATTGTTTGTTACCTGGTGCTTCACTGCATGCAATTCTGTTAGCCTGCTGTAGTATTCTCCTAGCATGTGCTGTAGGAAAGGGCAGACATAAGGATGAACATAAAATGTGTATGAGTAGTAAAGACAGGGTCTACAACATAAATCGTGAATGAAAGGAAATAAGCAAATTTCTTTAAAACTGGTTGCCTAAACAGAAATGTTTTTACCAAGTGTGGTTTATAATAACTTAAAAATAAATTCACTGAAATGTGAACATCCCAAAAGGCTTTTAAATTTTTATTAATGTGACAGATGATGACTATCACAATACACGTTTACTATTTATGCTTAGAACCTCCCAAAACTTCCAAGGAAAAAGAGAATTGTATAATTCAGTACTAGCAGTCACATGCTACACTTAACCATGTATCACAGGTAAAGTCATTGAAACTATTACATGCTTGTAAAAATTTACAGTAATGATTAAAACTAAAAGCAAACCTTTAGCATGTGAAATACAAATGTGATAGGTTTATTGTGCCAACCTGGCCAATGAACACGTGGGATTAATTGAAGGGCGGAGAGATAAATAGCTCGACGAGCCTCAACTATCTTGTCTCTTGTTCTTTGATGATCGGACCAGTGTGCGGCTACCTTAGCTGGTTCTCTGCCTCAATTTGCAAGCTACATTATCTATAGGTCACCCAACCCGTGGACTGCGTCGCCATAGTATGAGGTTCCTTCAAGACCTGCTTCACCGCACTACTTGAGTGTACATCGCTTGAGCTGGGGACTGTCAGACCATCATCTAGCTGACTGTTGGTGACCTGCCTTGCTGTTTGCTGCCTGAGGCCGGATTGCCTGAATTGCTCCAAGAGGACTCAGCTGTCTGCTTCCTTGACTTGCACGCGGCAGCCCTCATGACTTAAAGCACTGCTAGTGTATTAGCTTGTCTCATGGAAGTGAGTTGCACTCAGCCATTTGTACTGCTCTATAGACTAATTAGCTGTTTACTTATGTTGTATATCTAACGATGTAAACATGTATAAAATCTTAAGTGTCCTGGTCTTGTTTCTCTAGAGAACCCTGTCTGTAACACAGCGAATATTTACAAAAGTCTATTTTGTGAATTTATAATATTCACAATTAAATTCACCAAAATTCAATCATCCTATTTTTCCCCGTGACAATAATTACTATGGTAACTGCTATCTAACTTATTAAATATTTTGATGCAGCCTCCTTCTCTAACTCTACCCTAATGCTTATTTTTTTGGAATATAAATGCTAGACAAGATAGCCAAATGAGATAAAAACTGTAAAAATTTCTCAAAAGGATCCTGGTCTGTCTTTTGAGAGCACTAAATTCTGGTTGTTTTTTTAAAATTTCATTTTCATTTTTTTAGGATGGATTTCTAAATGTATACTTAATGTGTTAAAGACTTTTGAAGCTGTTCTGAAAAGTTATGCCAGTTTATAGTTGGCCCTTTATAACTATTCTTTTTGACCATGTTTCCTCATCTACAAATTGAAGTAAAAGTCAACTAAAAGGATTATGAAACTAAGATGAGATGCACTGGCAATCTCTGACCAGTAAAGTATGATACACAATGTAGCTTATTATTATTTTCACCAAGGATCTCATTGACAACTGAGAACTACTTAAATTTATATTTATTAATCTATCTTCCCTGGTGGAGTAGTTGTTATGCGCTGAGCTGCTTTAAACTGCAAGGTCATTAGTTCAAAACCACCAGCCACTCCACAGGAGAAAAAGGAGGCTTTCTATTCTTGTAAAAGTTACAGTTGCGGAAAAACACAAGGGCAGGTCTACCTTGTCTTATAGCGTCACTAAACTCAATGGCAGTGGGTTAACTCAATGGCAGTGAGTTAAAGCTCGCTTCTCATATTTTCTTTTTATAAATCAGAAAAGTATTAGCTTCTATTGATTAAATAAATACTTATTGATCTCCAATATGTGTTTGATATTATTGCTACTATACTAGGTCCAAATACAAAAAGTTTCTGGTGCCACCGGACTCAAAAGAGTGATACACTTAAACAGGCCAAGAGTAAATAATATGAAATGGGGGAAAAAATAGGTTTATATAGTCTAAAATAAGACACAAAAAGGAAAATTAGGGAAGCTTCCTCTGGGTAGTTTAGGATGCAATTTCAGGGTTCTAGAATTAAGGCTTTACTTGAGTCTATCAAAGAATAATGTGTACAGAGGGTAAAGGGATGTTGTGAGGCAGAAAAGACAATAGTGAGGGTGAGAAACAACATGATAGCTTTAGGAAAACTCCAGTGCCAAGAAAAGAAAAAAGTTCATGGCAGACGATAGTGAAAGAGTTTGGGGAGACAGGAAGGAATCAAATCTGAGAGCCGTATGTGCTACATTAAAGCATAAAAATTCTATTTGTAGGCAAAGTGAAAGCAAAGAGCTTAAACAGAATGATAGACTTTCATATAAATTCTTACTCAGAAAAGTGTTTCAGAATTTCCAATGAAGAGTGACACATCACCTATCCTCTTGTTTACTCAGCATAACCCCAAGACATATGTATTTGCAGTTTAGATTTCTTGATAGCAATATCTACTTGATAATAATATCTACTACAAAAACTGTACCAAATAGGTATGTCTGATAGTCCAATTTCAAATCTAAGCAAAGAGTTCCTTAAATTAAATCCCCCAAAAAAGGGCATACCTGAAAAAAAAAAAAAAAAAAAAGGGCATACCTGAAGATATTTCGGTTGACCTACTATATTTTATTATTTTTTCCAGTTGCTCATGATTCTTTCTGCTGAACACTTTTGCTTGAACAGGTTCTTCAGTCTGCGCTGAAAGTCTGTTCCTACTTTTACAAGGTTCACATGTGCTAGACATACTGGCACTTTCATACCCTTCGGTTTAAGAAAAAAAAGTGGGGGACAGCAGTTAGCAGGTGCAACTAACTCAAGGTGAAAGGGAAATTGATTTCCATAGTAAAATGGTATAGGTCACATAATTCAGAATGCTATGAAGTCCTGGTGTAAGTACAATGAGAAATAGTAAATACTCTACCTTGAAGCAACCTTTGCAATCAACTTTAGAAGCACAGGGTAAGGTAACTAAACTCGTTTTTTTGTCCTTTGATGTTCTGCTTAATGAGTACGTCAAATTCAAACTACGGCAGACCTTTTACAAGCCAAATTATCTACTGGACTAAAAGTTGATAATTTTTCAGTATTAAGAAATAAAACAATCGGTTAAAACATGCATATTAAAGATTAATGAAAATGAAAGTCAAACATGACTTTCTTTTTATACTTTTTATGTGGTGTATTTTGGTCTAGGTTTACCAGGTCTCCTCCACTCACAGGTTTATCCATATATTCATTACCTTTTCCTTCTAAGTTGCAGTGTTTTGGGGTTTTTATTTATTTTGATATTTAGTTAACTGGACAAATTCAATTCTATTTTGTTCTAAAGAGATAGTGTTACGTAAGTAAAACTATCCTTTTCCCACTGAGGTAAAGTGCATCCCTGGCTAATGTACTGAATCTCCACATATAACAAATTTCATTTGTAGGCATTCTGTGTTCCAGTTACCTATCCCAATATTATTCTTCTGGCTACAGAAGTTTCATATTACATATTGAAGCATCTAGTAAAGAAAGACAAGTCCCACCTAGCTTCTTTTCTTGGTTATTCCTAGACATTTGTCCTTCTATATAAGCTTTAAGTTTTCTTCCAATTAAAAAATAATCCTTGGGGATTTAAAATGCAATCATATTGAAAGTATATTCATTTGGGAAACACTAACATTTACCGATTTTATGCATTCCCACTCAAGAATATTGGTAATGATTTACATTTGTTCAATCTTATTTCATGTTCTTAAAAAATATTTTATAGACTTTTACAGATCCTGCATCTTCCTAGATAAATTTTTCCTGGTGCCCATCAACAGCTCCCCACCACCCCAAAACTTTTGACAACAATGGGACTATTTCCTCCCAACTTTCTTTTATTGTTTTACTGTAACAGAAAGACATAGTTACACATTGATGTAAATTATTTACCTTTTAAATTGTTTACCTTGTTAATTACAGTTCTATTTTCCATTCTCTCTTTGGTATTCTTAATAAACAAAAATACCATTAGAAAAAAATTAGTACAAGATCTTCTTTTCCTTTTTAAAATAACTATTCAGTTGTTCAATTTCTTATCTTGTTTAAAAAATAATGCAAAATGATGATGGTATAAAGGGGATATGTTTGTCTCTAGTATTGATAAAAAATTATTAGCAATATTTTATTTATATTTTTGATTGGGCATTGGAAAAATAAATAACAAAACAAAAAACTACTGCTGATTGTAACTCATAGTCATCACTATAGGTAAGTACCATGTAGCTTCATCTAGCTTCGTTGGCCAACTTTTCTTTACATTTAAATAATTGTGTTCTCATGGTCTATGGTGGCCTATGGTGACATAGTGATTATATATTGCGCTTTAACCATAAGGTCAGTAGTTCAAAAGCACCAGCCACACTGTGTAAGACAAAGCTTTCTATTCCCGTAAAGAGTTATAATCTTAGAAACCCAAAGCGGCAGGTCTACCCTGTCATATAGGGTCACTATGAGTCAAACTCAATTCAATGGTAGTGAATTTGGTCCACTTTCCTTGGAACTTTCATCAGGAATGATTTCAAATACCATCTACCATACTGCTACATTGATGAGTTTTTATAACTTTTTGATATAACCATGCTAACAAATTCTTCTGACACTGTTATGATTATATTTCTGTAATAAATCCTACAACATGACGAATTACTCCTGTGATACAAGTGTAGAGAATGAACCATGGCCATCATATAGATTCCAACTCATGGTGACCTTCTATAGGGTTTCTGAGGCTGTAAATTGTTATGGGAATAGACAGCCTTATCTTTCTCCTGCGGATGGCTGGTGGTTTTATTTTAGGGAGAAAAAAAAGTTCCAAGGAAGGGTTACATTGATTTCCTCTAACTCATCCTTTCTCTAAAAACCATGGAGTTCTGATCTTAGCCCTAAACACTGTCTGAAAGAGTTGACTACATCTTCCAGGTCAAAGCAATTCTTTTGCTCAGAAGAAATGGTAATTGGATGAGAGCTGATAAGGGAGGGCTGCATGCACACCTGTTTAAAACAAACATCTTTCCAAATCCTACTTGGTCTCTAACAGTTTGCTTCACCTCAGAGTTATTTTTGATCTGTAATTGCTTCTTAACATATAAGTCTCCAAGATATTGTCAATTTATTCTTGGTATGATATTCTATATGAATTCAACCTTTCCTCTCTGTTTCAAGGGCCATAATTCAAGCTAGGATTTCATCATCTCAATTCTAAGCTCCTGTTTCTTTATAGGTCTTCTGGACTAAAGTCTTGCCACTCTCATTCATTCTGCATGAAAATTACAGAGGGAAAAAAAAGGGCATCTTAATTACACTTGACCTTCACATAACATAGGTCCAGAAAAAAGAATATGACTGTCAAAATTTCTATGTAAAATGATTTGATTGGCAGATGCTATTAAATAATTAGTGGCTCACAGAGTTGTGAAGAAAAAAATTAAAAGATGTTATTCAATAAGAATATTTAAATTAATAAAGTTAAACCTTTGATTGTTACTATATCAAATGAAAACAGCTGAATATAATCAAAATGAAAATTCAGATTATGTGTTAAACACAAAATTCTCTTGGGAAGTATCAACAGATACTTCAAAAAGACCTGCCAACTCAGAGAAAACTGTAAAGAGCAGCGTGCTTCAAAAAGAATATTGTAAGCTGCAAAAATTTTTGCAGCTGCAAAAAGAATAAAGTATGATGTTATATGTAAGTTCCAAATTTTAAAACTCAAGAAATAGATTCTCACAGTTAAGAAACGAATTTGTGGTAGGTATTGTCTCTCTTCTGGATATTTTAGTAGTATTTCTCTAGAGCGAATATCAGAATTGGTGAAACTACTTCTTAATAATACTTCAGAGCACCACTAGCTAGGACAGTAGAACAGCAGCAACACCTTTACTCTGGGTAAAGATCTTACTTCCTATATGACCTCACCACTCTTAACCCTATGTTTTTCTCATGGCTAACAAGTGAGCAAATACAGTACAGTAGTACTTCTGGTTTGCTTCCAGTATAGCTCGACACCTATGTCATGGAACTCTGAAGACTCTGCAAGTGCCCACACAGACAAGTCTTGAACCATACCTAAATTTAAGTCTCAGTAGAAAACTTTCCGATGGATCCCCGGGAACATGAAAACAAACTGAAGAGGCTTCTCTATGACCATTCCCTAGTTACCTCCTTATCTCCTCTCGCCATCTCCTGGGATCTAATGAAGTTTCTGCTTTACCCCTTTAGCGTAAAACTACAGACCACAGACAGCTTCAATATAGCATGGTATTAGCTCCCCAGCAACAGTGTCCCACTACTAATGCTGCAATTATCAGTGTCATCCTTTTGTTGTATGGGATGAAGGATAGAATCTTTTTAAAAAACCTTGTTGTTTCTTCGCCAGCCAAATCTTCCATGCCTTGCCTTCCCTACTGACCATGCATCCCCAGTCAACCTTCACTAGTGAGCAATAGGAAAGGGAAGGGGAAATTTTAAAAAGATGGTTAGAACCCAGAAATCAGTACATTTCAGTCCTCCCTCTCTTTTCTAAGAAAATAATTAAGAGGCTATTCACTCTATGTTCCTACTTCTTCCTGATAATAGCAAAATGTGGAACGGGCCTGGTACAGTTTTTCTTATCAAATTACAAATCAACATCTGAAAAGTTCAGCCAGATAATAAAAGCACGTATCTCAGTCTTTTTTTTTCATATTTGTCTTGAATTTGAATATTTGAAAGATTGTTTTAAAATCTTAATTTATATTCAATAATATTCACATTTACAAGAGGACAAAAGACTAAATAAAGTACATGACAATTCCTGTTTCATCTTTTATTGTTTCTTCCTGATTTTTCTTATTGTTGTTACAATTTATATGCTTTCTAACTTTCTCTCCATCTCCTTTCATTTACTACTTCCTTTAAGACAAAGAAAATTTACCCCTCCTCCTAAAAAATCTTTGGCCTTGCAATTCCACACAAAGAACAAAAGTAACATAAATTAGTAGTGTAATTTAGTGCTTGGTTCTGGGACTTTAATGCCGATACCTTCATATTAAAAGATCTCAAATTTTGTTAGAATTATCTATTGACCAAAAAATGCATAATGAATTGGTAGAAGGTGGAACCTAAGAGCCTGCATTTTTGTGAGCTCCTACATGTTAATGGTGTTTGTCCACAGTTCACATTTTGAATAAGAAGGATATATCTGACCACTTTGATTGCTATATATTTAATTCTGCTACCAAGCCTTTCATTTGTGTGTTGTATACCTCCTTAGTTTGAAAGAGCTCCTGAAACTTGCTGACCTTGTTATTTGATAAGCAGTGGCATAGCTTCCAGCATCAGAGCAACACACAAACCATCACAATATGACAGGCTAAAAGGTGAGTGGCTTTAAAATATACAGAGGTTTTTAAAAAATATAATGTATTATGTACAATAGGCTTATACTATCGTTATTGCTAGGTAACATATCAATTCTGACAGTGATTGGCAGCTGAGTGCTTAATCAATGCATTACCAGTGACCCTTGGGTTTACACAGATTTGGTTAAGGGACGACTAGAAACCTATTTAAATAAAGTCCACATACCAGTATCAGAAAAACATGAAAGTCACTTAGAAATGTTTCCTCCTTAGACTTACTTAATTAGAATCTAACTTTAAGAGGACTCCCTACAAGTCGTATGAAACACTACAGTTTAGGAAGCACAGCTCTAGGCCACTCAAATGAATTAGTTGAATAAGGATGTTGGAATAAGAAACTAATGTATTCATAAACAAAAGCATTACTTTGTGTGTGTGTGTGTGTGGGGGGGGGAATACAGCAACAAGGAATAAAAAGTTCTTTGTGTTACCCTAGGGTTTCTGTCTCGCACTACTTAAGTATTCTTGAGTGCAAGGAGAACATCTTCTAAGCTTACCGTAATCACCGATGTAAAATTTTAAAAAGATTAAATTGTCTAAAAATATTTATTAAACTAAACATTGTATGATAAATTCTGTAAAAAATAAATAAAGTGTGCTAAATGGCTTTCTTCATGTATGTCTATAACAGTGCTTATCTATTGCACTATACTGAAATCAGATACTTCACATGCCAGATTAGGGTTACCAGTATTTGAACTGGAGAACATTAATCAGTTTCAATACTTACCAATATTTTTAACTCTGCTTTTCAGTTGGGTAGAATTCCTCTTCTTACTCTTTGATTTGGGAGTTTTATCTTTAGATGCCAGGCTGGCCTGAGCAGATGCCTTTCTTGCCTTGAATGTTTTAGTTACTGTTGTTGGATCTACTGGATCAGGCATGCTGCTAAAACTTTCTAATGATTCTTCATCAAACTGGCGTCTTCTGCCAATGTCTAAATGATTTTTGCGATGACTATTTGCAGCTTTCTCTGCAGACGTTGCAAATCCAGTGTTAATAAATGGTTTTTCTACATCACCTTCTTGGCCATATAACCATGGTGGTCTACTGTTTTCCACCTCCTCTTCAGGCTGCTTTTGATTCCTCATGAATAAAAACAAATTTCTAAGAATCATATTATAGATTTCTATATTTACTAAAAACTCCAGGTAGCCATATTTTACAGTTTACTAGTGAGTAGTTTAAGGCTACTAAAAATCATCAGCGGTCTACATGATATTTTCACACAATATGCATTAAATATGTCAATCTGATACAGGATAATGTACTAAATTATTTACAACTTTATTTCTGTACTCATCCCACTATACCACTGCCATTACTCATATAATGAGAAAATGTGGAAAAGCGGATAGAAGATGGGACAAAAGAAAACAAAGGAACAGCTAGCTTGGGAACATACATGGGTCTTTATCACTTAAAGTAGTTCACACAGAAACAAAAGTTGATGAAAATAATTAGCACACAATCACTAATTTATTTCTCTACACTAAGTCAAGTTTTATTCCATTGGCTTGGAATCATTTCCCATACTTTATCTGCTGAATATTGGTATATTGGCTTTCTTACTATAGTAGCAAACTTTCACTTATCTCAGTTTTGAATAAATGCTTATTGCTTGATGGAGATTCATTAAACCATCATTTCTGAATATCAACTGTGTGCACAAACAACTAGCTACTAGAATGTGGAAGTATGACATTCCCAACACATGCACAACAATCAAATACCTCTTGTTCTCAATTACATGTAACCAAAATACTATTATTAATCAAATTTGGTTTATGTTCACATTCAAGTACCTTTGTTTTTCTGCTCCAACAGAAGAACTGCTTTCAAAAGGCTTTGGAAAAGCCATATATTCTGTTTTCCCTGAAGGGTTTTGGATTAATGGCTGTTGCTGTTCAGTAGGTGTAGACACATTCTGAGAAAAATCTCCAAAATTAGAAGGAAATAAAGAGCTGAAATTCATACCTAATAAATAAAAAGCCACAGAGGGGGAAAAAAAGTGCCCTTGGTTTTAATACAAAATTAAAGGATAATTTTAAATTAAATATGCCATTCAAGCCACCCAAATTAAAAAAAGGATTAATTAAAATTAACTAACACACTTTTAGGGCTCAGCGCACCATGTTTTAGTCACCATGAGACTTCAGCTCATACTTTGAACATATCAATAGCAGACAGATCCTGGAGGACATCATATTTGGTAAAAACCAAAACCAAACCAGCCATCAAGTTGATGCCGACCCATATCAACCCTACAGGACAGGGTAGAAGTGCCCCTGTGGGTTTCCTAGATTCTAACTCTTGATGGCACTAGAAAGCTCATCTTTCTCCCTCGGAGCACTTGGTAGTTTCAAACTGCTGACCTTGCAGACTGCAGCCCAACAGGGTTTCTCATGTTTGGTAAAGGGTCAGCACAAAAGGGGAAGACCCTAAGGAAGATGTACTGTCACAGCGGCCTCAGTAATGGGGTCACAAACAAATAATTGTGAGGATGATGTAGGACCAGGCAGGGTTTTTGTTTCGCTGTACACAGGGTCCTATGAGTCAGAATTGACAGCATCTCATCTAACAATAACAACTCTCCTCGTAAGAGCTGAAAGTTAAAAATAAAATTACCTACCAATTATCAAATTATTAATGGGGACCAGGTACTATTTTAGGCACTTCACATGGTATTTTGTTAATACTAAATGCCATGACATAGACATTATAAGGTATTATACTTATTTTACCAATGAGAAAATAGGCTAAAAGATTAAACACCAAGTAAATAAAAGGACTGGTAAGATCTTGAGTTTACTTGACTTGAAAGCTTATGCTATTCCCACTGTATTATAGTTGGGAAAGTAGAATATTATCAAATATTTACCATATAATGCTATATTGGTGGTATTTTCAAGGGACTATTAACAGCTTTGGAGGAAAAGGAATAAGGGAGGTTTCACAAAAGCCAATTAATTGGTAAAGAAGAGAGTCTTTGGTACAGTGTTGGTATAATTATGAAGTGCATTTCAGTGTAAAGGCATCAAATGTATAATTTATGTTGTTACTTAAAAGCCAACTCAAAACATGTCTGCTGTCAACACAATTCAACACTCAGGAACTAAAAAGCTTGTTAAATGCCAGTATCTTTGCGATTCTGTAAGGAAACACACTGTGGTATATAGTAGCTATTTATATTCAGAGACTCCATTCCTTTTTCTCCTCCTCCATTCTTTGACAAACACCTTCAACATCTTCCTTATTCACTCTCTTCTAACCAGCTACTTTATTCATTCTACCTCCTTGATCTCTTTTGGATTATTCCTTTGTCTTTATTGCCAATGCTTTAGATCAGGCTAACACGCTTATTCCCTGATATCACTGCAATAGTCTTCTATTTACCATCTACACTCTTAGCTCCTTAGCAATCGAAACACTTATTACCAATGTTATCTTTCAAAACTATCAACAAGCTTTCCCTACTCATCCTTTAAAGGACCCCTCTTGTCTAAACTTTTTATCCTTTGTGTGCTTTCTACATAGCACATAAGGCCTCTATCAAGAACCTAAAAACTAGTCACCCTAATTATTCTAAATTTCCTGATATCCTATTTTACGCCTTTGCAACTCTCAATAGCTTGTTTAGAAAACCCCTTTCCTTCCTGTCTTTATTCTTTAGCTTAAATGTCACCTTTCTGTAAAAGAGAAATTTGCTGATAATCCATTCCCCTAAGGATAGGCCACTTAGCTCATTTTCTCTAGCACCTGTGGCATTGCACACAAGCATTTACTGATATTCTTATCTTTCTGATTAAGGAGTTTCTTCAAGGATCAATTTTACTCATCTCGGAATTCCAGTTTTAATATAAAGTCTGGCACTTAATTGGTACAAAACAAAAACAAATGTCTAACCCAGGGGTCCTCAAACTTTTTAAACAGGGGGCCAGTTCAATGTCCCTTAGACCCATTGGAGGGCTGGACTATAGTTATAAAAAAAATTGAACAAATTCCTATCACACTGCACATCTTATTTTGAAGTAAAAAACAAAACGGGGCAAAAACACCTAGTGGGCCGGATAAATGTCCTCGGCAGGCTGCAAGTGGCCCGCGGGCCATAGTTTGAGGACCCCTGGTCTAATCTAAATGTATTCTTTAGTCTCGTGGTGTATCTCCCTAAGAAAACATGAAGTACTTCTAGAAGAGTGCTGTCTTCCTCATGTTTACTCTGCTAAGTTTTACACAATGCCTCAAATACAGCAGACACTGGATAGGCTAATTCCTTCTGTACCCTGGTAAAGAGCTGTTGAATAATTCATAGGTAAAAGAGAAGGTCCTCCTAAGTTTTCTTCCTTTCATTAGTATCTGTACTAAGCGCTATCATGAATCAGTAGAGAAAAAGTTTAAAACTTTCTTTGTAAATGCCGTTTACCATCCCCAAAGAAACTATTGCAGCAAATTTGTGCAATGAACAAATGACAAAGTCTTGATTTTTGTTTCTTTTCTCTCAAGTTTTCAAGTCACCTACCTGGTGTAAATGATGAAAAATTAGTAAATCCAGGTAAGGAAAATAGATTGACAGGCGGGGTTGGAAAGCTGAGGGGACAAAATAAGCTAGGAGATGGAGGGTGAGATGAACTACCATCTCGTTCTTTGCTTCCAGGTTTTTCAGGGTGCTGATTTTGTTGCCGCAGAAGTTCATTTAACATTTGTTTCAATCTGTAAATATTGAAGACATTAGTTATGTTGTCATTTATTTAAAATACACTCAGGAAAGCATATGTGATTCAATAGCCAACAGAACTCAGGATAACTGCTGATACTTATGGCAGCAAGTATTAGCTTGTACTGCAGGTGAAACTTCAGTACCTAGCCTTTGAAACAGCACTGAACTCAGTCTACCTATAAAATATGTATAACCAACTTTTTTTGTTGTTGTTTACAGTCTTAGTGGCATAAAACTAACACCATGTAACTCACCCCAATGTTTCATAGAAGATATTAAAAACAAAAGTCATGTCTATAACAACAAAAAATATTAAGAAAATACACTGCTTATGAAATTCTCAAGTGACAGATAACAAATGTTCAAATATACATTCTGGCTCCTGCCTCCCCCCCCCCCAACCCCCTCCAAGAGATAATTGTAAAACCCTCAAGTCCTAACATTTCTAAGAAACGGATTACCTCTGAACATTATTTTGTTGCCATGTTAGCTGAGTATAGCACTGGTTCAACTGGTGCATTATAAGGTGTACTTGAGGAGAAGCAACATTGCTGGGCATAACACTGTAAGGACCTGTGAGAAGAGTCTGTAGTAGACAAGACAGTGTCTATGGAAAGGGAAAAAAGAAACAAAACTAGCAATAAATACATAAACTACTTACGGCACGACAAAAATTTGTATTACTTCAAATACAATAAAGCTATAAATAAAATTACTTCATTGTAGACTTTACCTGCTGATCTTGCATCAGAGTTTGACAAATACTGACACTGAAATCAAGCTGTTTCTTTAACTGATTAATTTGTTCTTGCCACTGTTCTTTCTCTTCTATGTAAGAAAGTTCTGACACCCAACGGTTTTCTTGGCGCTGCATGCTGACATTCTGTTGCCTTGTTTTGGCCAAAGGACGGTAATTACCATCTGCGGAAAAGGGGCGATTGTTCTTCCACCTAAGACAAGATTTAAAGCAGAGTCATCATAGATAATAATTTGGTTTTAAAATTATGGAATTAAAACCTGATACCATAGTTCATGTCTTCTTGTTTTAAGTTCAAAAATTTATAAAGGAAAACAGAAGGGAAAAAAATTCCGCATTTCTAGGCTTACGTTTACTTATTGTTTTTGTATTCCTTTTGACTTTTTTCATTTGCTTCTACACTAAGGTATCATACCATTTGTATTCTGCAGAATGAATATTCATGATCATTCCAAGTATTTTTCCATTCTGCATGATTTACATTTAGTAACATAGTAGTCTATCACTTAAAAATACTGTAATCTACTTATGCATCTTTTAATTTTTTCACTGCTGTAAATAAGAATTAATGAATACCTTTGTTTACAAACATTTTTCAATATTTAGAACTTTCCTTTGATGCTTAATTTCACAAGAGAGAAAGGGTCAAAGCTTATGAATCTTGATCCAACTTAGCTGGAATCTATCATAGCAACATTCTTCAAACCAATCATAATACTAAAACTTTAAAAACTCACCTATTTTTTGTTTCCTTTACATTATAGGAATTATGATTCACACTGTTAGGATACACAGAAAAGTTATCATTGGAACTGACATCTTGCTCCTCTTCTTCCTCCTCTTCATCCATTCGAATGATTCCTTCAGAAAGGTAACCATCTTCATCTCCTTCTTCATCCAGTGCACACTGGGTGGACCCTCCCCAAGTTGCCATTGTTCTAATGATTAGAAGACATAAAATAGAGACCATTCTGGATATGAACTACATATTTTACCACCTGTTGTGTGTCAAGACACTGTGTCAAATATGTATGTGTGATGTATTCTCTAAGATGGGTAGTACTAAACACAGGGAATATGTTTAGTCTGCTTTGAAAACACAACTCTTCAAATAAACTAATCACATCCTCTGGAACATTTTTCTTTTTTCTTTTCTTTTGTAACTGGCATTTTATTGGTTGTTTTGAGATCAGTACAGAGACATTATGAACAATCTGTACACAATCCTTAATGCATGTACCAAAATCCTAAAATGGCATGTAGATAAAATTCGTTTCTAAATTCCAGTGACTTTCCAGCTTTAAATTTAGAGGCAAATTTTTAAAAAGAGATTATTAAGTACCATTATCTTCAAATGCTGGTAAACTTACATCTTAAGTCCCACTAATTCACAATTCACACACTACACACTCAAATGTTCAATCCTTCACAGCACGTAACAAAGTGATCGAGAACACGGGACTACCACTACCAGGTGTTACAGAATGCACAGTTCTGACAAGAGCTGTGATGGCAGAATGGTTTTCAGACCCAATTCTTTTAAGAGAACAAATGTGGAAAAAAATTTTTAAATGTTCAAGTCATGCAAATGCATGACAGTAACTCCAAATTTCCATTAAGTGTGTTTTGTATAAGGGATACAAAAACTTCCCTCCATCCCATGGAATGTTATGTTGACACCCAAGACAGTCAAATCTTCCCACAATTCAACATCCCACTATTTTCTGGTTGTACTAAAAAATAAACAACCAGTAAATGATTTCACATCTTAAAAAAACAGCATTTACACTAAGGAAAAAAAATGGGATGAATTGAGATTTCCTTCTTCTTAAAAATGTTTCTAGAGCTACTAAAAAACGTGCATTTACAAAATAGTTGATAAAAATATTCCTCTGGATTGTACAAGAAGGGAGAGAACAGGGCCCACTGATAAGACATGATAAACATTAATCAAACTTGGCTTCTTTTTCTCCTGCTTCATCAGAGGCTGGGCTCTCCTCGTGTTTCGTTTCTCCATTTTCAGCAGGTAAATCTTTAGCTTCTTGGTTGGCTCCTTCCATCTGTTTCCCTTTGCTCCTCTTTTCCCTTTGCTTGCACTTTTTTGTCCCAAAATTTATCCTTTCCTGGTGCCTTTTTTGGCTTCGTCTCCACTTTTGCAGGCGCGGGTTTCGCTGACAATCTGGGCGATCTCCTCTTCGGCTCCTCCTTCACCGCCCCTTCGGCCGAGCTGACCTTCCTCTTGGGCATCTCGGCTGGCTGTGGGGAGGACGCCTTTGGACCGCGGGCCACCAAGAGCCTTCTGGAAGCTGGATCGCCAGGCGCTGCCGCTCTGCCCGCTGCAACCCGAGCTGCTAGGACCCGCGGCGGGGGCGGGGGGAGAACTGGATTGGGAGCCCACCCCATCCACCCCCCTGGAACATTTTTCTTTAACTTGATAACTTTCTTCAACTTTTCCATAAGCAAGTTTTCTAGGGCAGCACTGTCAAATAGATCTCTCCTTAACAGTGCTTCATGAAACTACATTTGTGCTGTCCTATAGAACCACTTAGTTACATATGCCTATTAAACATTTAAAATGTGGGGAGCACGACTGAAACAACTGTTAAGTTGCTTAATTTTAACGGTTACATATATCTAGTGGGTATAAGTCTAATTCCAAACCAATGGTTCTTCTCAAATCTAGATACTCATCAAACCAGAACTTCATAAACACAATTTGGTCAATAAAATACATATTGGGATTCTAAAAGTAGGAAACATTCTAAAATGAGGAAATAGTAAAAATGAAGCTTAATACAACATTCCAGGAAGGCCAGATGAGGATTAAGGTAAGGATTCAGTAGTGAAAATTTTAGATCTGAATGCTACTCTATAGCTAAGTACAGAAGTTATTTTAATTGCAAACCAAATCCACTCCTACTGAATGATTCCAACTCATATTGATCCTTTAAGACAGACTATCATTGCTTCAGTTTCCAAGGCTATACATACTGTCATATCTCCATCCTACAGAGCAGCTAGTGCATTTGTATTGTCGCTTCATTAGCAGCTGAACACATAACTTCAGCAGCACCAGAACTTAAGAAGTGATTTTACAGAGGATGAGTTCTTTCAGAAATATGTATTCTTTTAAATATGTCAATTTCTGCTTAAAAATATTTAAAAATAAATGTCTTAACTAGTGTTTTGAGAACCTTACAAACAGCAGATGCTCAATAGAAGTAAAAAGTGCTTACTTCCAAAATCTAGTGAAAGTAACTGTATTAATAATCATCTACATGCATGGCAGGGGAGGTTGGGGAAAAATGGGAGCCAACCACAATGAATACAACAAAGAAGACAATGCTCTGGAATTGGATTGTGGTGATGATTCTAAGACTTTTCTTAATATGACTGAACTAATAAATTGCATGACATATGAATTATATGCCAATAAAATGATTTTAAAAATAAAGGTGAAAACAAAGACAAAAGTGCTTATTTCTGGCTTGATAGTAAAGGTACTACATAATAAGAAGCAGTTTTTAACAAGACATGCTTAAAACTAATGCTAAAAAATAAAGCTTATACAAAAGAGACAATCTACATTCCATGTCAAACGCCATAGTGAATTTTTTTTTAAGCAAGAGAAAAAACCAAAACAGATATACTGATATTATGTAAAGTTAGAACAGAAACTGGATTCAGTTGAGTCACAAAAGTAATACTACAAAGCTGGCCTTAATGAGACAGAAAATGTGTGCTGCAGTGCAGAGAAAAATAATTTTAAAACCATACTCACTCACTGCCACTGAGTCTATGTCAACACATAGCGACATAAGAACAGGGTAGAACTGCCCCTGTGAGCTTCCGAGACTATAAATGTTGATAAGACTAGAAAGCCCTGTCTTCCTCAAAGCAGCTGGTGGTTTCAAATTGCCAACTACGTGGATCGCAACCCAATGCATAAACACTACACCACCAGGGCTCCTTCAGGTTAGATAGTAGATGGCAAAACACATTTAATCAACTTACTTTTCTGTTCTGCTTTGCTGAGGAGTACACAAGTTCTCAGATCCATCACTTCTGACTGAAATAGCAACTGGAGATGTCGTTTCAGCTAGACCTTGCCTCCTCTGATGTTCAGCCATCAGAGCTTCTAGCTGCTTTCTTCTCTGCCGCAGCTCTTCCCTTAACATTTCATGTCTTCGCATTTCTGACCAGAGCTAGTTTTCAAAAATAAGAGTTTAGGAAACAAAAAAAAGGATTTTAGGACATGTAAACATTTGGAATTACTTTAGTTTTAAAAGTAACAACAAAGAAGGGAAAAAGTTAGGCAATCATTAATAATGAAAAAAAATAGCAAAGGTACGTCATGTGTAATGTAGAGAATGCTATGTGAATTAAATGTCAAATGCTAGGCCTTTCTTACTGAAATGATTACTATTTGCTAACAGTTTCTTAGAATTCTGACAAATATTTGCTAGTAATGAACAAGACTATTTTGAAAATATAACCGAACTGTTACTTTTTAGAAAAAATAGTTTTCTTTCCGGCAACTTGTAAGAAGACATATTAATATTTAAAAACTTATTTAACAATTATTACACTTCCTTTCTTTGACTGTAAGATGAACTCAAAAACAATAAGGTACAACAGTCAATACCTCATTATCTACGACTGCAGCGTCTTCAGGTTCAAACACAGATTTGCTTGTACTAGTTTCATTTTCACGAACAGTTGGAGTTGAAGTAACAACTGGCAGATAATTTTTGATGGGACAACTACCCACACTCGTAGCTGACAGCTGAAAAAAGGAATGGTAAAAACAATTATTTGATATTAAAACAATTATGTTAATATCATAAAGGCAATCATTTTAATGTCAAAGGGCTCCAACCCTACCCCACCCCAAAAAAACCAACTCACTGCCATACATTCTTCTGACAGAGACCCCCTATGGGGCAGAGCAGCACTGCCCAATGGGTTTCTGAGACTGTGACTCTTATCATAGGAGCAGAAAACCTTTCTCCTGAGAGCAACTAGTGGCGGCTTTATGGTTAGCAGTCCAACACAAAATGACTAGGCCACTGAAAGGCTGTTTGTTGTTAAGTGACATCAAGTTGGTGACCATATGGAAAACAGAACAAAATACTGCCTGGTCCTTTGTCATCTTCACAGTTGTTTTTTATGCTTGAGTCCACTGTTGCAGTCCCTGTTGTCCATCTATCTTGTTGAGGGCGTGTATCTTTTCTGCTACCTTTACCAAGCATGATGTCCTCCTCCAGGGACTGATCTCTCCAGAGCCTCTGGTAGCTCCCTGGTCAATGTATTGCTGCAACTGCTGTTGGATGATTTTCAGCAAAATTGCACCTGCATGTGTTATCAATGGCATTATTTGATAATCTGAGTATTGGGTCATCTTTCTTTGGAATAGGCACAGATATGATCTCTTCCAGTCAGCTGGCCAAGTAACTGTCTTCCAAATTTTCAAGCATAGAGGAGTGAGTGCTTCATCAGCTTGTTGAAACATTTCAATTGGTATTCCATCAATTCCTGGAGCTTTGTTTTTGGTTAATGCTTTCACGGCTGCTTAGACTTTTTCCTTCAGTACTGTTGGTTTTTTTTATCATATGCTAACTCTGGAAATGGTTGAAATGGCAACTAGTTCTTCATGGTATAGTGACTATGTATTCTTTCCATCCCCTTTTGATATTTCCTGCATCATTCAATAAATGGTTCACAAAATCTTATGCAGATTGAACTTTTTCTTGAGTTCTTTCACTTTAAGATATGCTGAACATGTTCATAATAAATGATCGGCTATAACTTGTTAAGGTTCTGTTAGAATAATATTTCCAAATACTGATGTTTCAGTTGTCTCCAGAAAAAGGTTAACTATATACAGATTACTTAGATAAATGTTTTGAGGAAATGCAGTGTTTCTTCACCTACTCATAGGTTTTATAGTACACTGAAGTCAACAAAATATGCATATCTACTCTAGAAAGGCATGAACTTTTGCTTGGTATTTTAGCATGTTTGTAGATCTGAGAGGATATATTTGTATAATCTTAAAAAAATTTTTTATTGTGATTTGGGTCAAATCAGTTTTCCATTACACATTTTCATTATCTTTTGTATTATAAACATTGGGATCTGAGTAAATGGAAAAATTAGAGCAGAGCAAGTGATAATGGACATTGATTTCTTGAAGAAAAATAACTGAAACATTACTTGTTTAGTTTGACTCTACATATATAGGGCTTCTAAAAATTTTGTGGGGAAGTAATTTTTCCATGAATGAAAAGATAGAATTTTTCCATGAGCTTTTTGACATCCCCTTGAGTGAGTATAGTCAAAGAATACAACAATATTTTAATTAATTTCCTTAGGAAATCCATTATGACTTAAGGACTTCGTTATGAAATAATAAGCAAGTACATCATCAAATTACTGGTGCAAAATTGTTACATTCAGAGTATTTTAGTACAAATAATTGCAAATTCTCAAGTTCTAACTCTGATTAGCCAAAGGCATAGAAATAATCAGATTCAATTCCTATCTACTCTTTCACGATATAAAGCTATATATACTTACCTATTTCACTGTTAATGAACTAACCACAATATTAGTAGACATAAATCTGACACATCAGTATTGGAAAAAGATGAATACTTTCATAGGTTACAGTTTTTATATCTTTTTTTACATCTTTTTTTATTTTTTTAACATTTTATTAGGGGCTCATACAACTGTTATCCCAATCCATATACACATCAATTGTGTAAAGCGCATTTGTACATTTCTCAAAACATTTTCTCTCCACTTAAACTCCCGGCATTAGGTCCTCATTTTTCCCCTCCCTCCCCGCTCACCCCTCCCTCATGAGCCCTTGATAGTTTATAAATGGGTATTTTGTCATATCTTGCCCTGTCCGACATCTCCCTTCACCCACTTTTCGGTTGTCTGTCCCCCAGGGAGGAGGTCACACACAATTCCATGTAATCGGTTCCCTCTTTCCTACCCATTCTCCCTTTACCCTCCCTGTTTTGCCACTCACACCACTGGTCCTATAGGGCTCATCCATCCTGGATTCCCTGTATTTTCAGTTCCTATCTGTACCAGTGTACCTCCTCTGGTCTAGCCAGACTTGCAAGATCGAATTCGAGTCATGGTAGTGGGAGCAGGGAGGAAACATTTAGGAACTAGAGGCAAGTTGTATTTCTCATCATTGTTACATCGCACCCTGACTGGCTCATCTCCTCCCCGACCCCTCTGCAAGGGGATCTCCAGTGGCCTACTAATGGGCTTTGGATCTCCACTCCGCACCCCCCACATCATTCACTATGGTAAGAATTTTTGTTCTGATGATGCCTTACACCTGATCCCTTCGACACCTCGTGGTTGCATAGGCTGGGGTGCTTCTTCCATGTGGGCTTTGTTGCTTCTGAGCTAGATGACCGCTTGATTACCTTCAAGCCTTTAAGACCCCAGACGCTATACTTTTTGATAGCCGGGCACCATCAGCTTTCTTCGCCACATTTGCTTATGCACCCATTTGTCTTCAGTGATCCGTTCGACACCTCGTGATCACACAGGTTGATATGTTGTTCCATGTGGGCTTTGTAGGTTTTATATCTTTTATTTAGATAAATGTTAAAAAAAATTGTTTCATAATTACCTACCTGTAGGTCAGGACATGCCTTTTGCAACGCTTGAATTTTCTCTTGAATCTCAATCAGTTTCTTTCTTTCTTCCTGCAATTGTTTGAGCTCTCTCTGTTGCTGCTGTAGTTTAGCCTCATAAAATTTCTCTCTACAATTAAATTTACAATAATTACATATATGTACAATAACAGCTGTATTAAGCAAGACAATATAATTGGCAGTTGACCACTTTCTCTCTGAAAGCCACTAGATTTTTATTAAACAAAGGTCAAAAGCATAATATACCTTTCCTTTTCATTTACTCCAACATCTTTCTGTGTTTTATTGGCATTTTCACGAGTGTTATTTGGATTTTGTTTTGTGTCATCTTCTGCTGGGTAGAAATCATCAAGGTTTGAAGGATTGGCTGAGATAACCCCTTGATCAGCTTCATCATCCTAAAACAGCATTATCACAATAACATAAACTTGATATCTAAAGCTATTATCCAATTTATGTCTTTAATATCTTTAATAAATCCTTCCCTTTAAGATTTATGTAAAGAACTAAATCAGAAGAAAAAGCACATGGTTTCCAGTGAACATTGAAGTTCATCTTTCTGTCAGTGGCAAGAAATAAAGTACTAAAATGAAAACCAACATTTAAAATTTGTCAATTATTAGAACTGACAGAAATTAAGTAGCCTTTTCTTACCCTGACCAGATCCTGAGCTATGTTACCTTAAAATATAACAAAATGAAGCTGTATGGAGGAAATGATGATCATCTATAATTGGAGTTGGGAAGCTCAGAACAATGTCATGTAATATAGCCATGATGGCATAGTAATTGTGGGTTGGGCTATGATATCTGAAAGGTCAGCAGTTCAAAACCACCAGTTTCTCCATGGGAGAAAGATGGGGATTTTTACTCCTGTAAACAGTTCCAATCTCGGAAACTCACAGGGACAGTTCTTCTCTGTCCTATAGGGCCAAGGAGTCGGCACTGACTTGATGGTGGTCAATTGAGTTTTTGGAACAATGTGCTTTTGGTATTAAGTAAGTTTTTGTATGATATAACATTCATATGAGCAACTTGAAATAATCAATGCTCACTGACTCTTCCTCTGCTTTAATTTTTCATTTCCTCACTTTGGAGAAAAAAGGGCTAATGCTTACAATACAAAAGAAAATGAAAACCTGTAAGAAATGCTGAACAGAAAACAGATTTTCTCTATAAACTTAGGCCAAAATCACAAAGTTAAAAAAAAAAAAAGATAAAGATTTCCTCTCAGATCTGCAAACACTGCTGGAAAAATAACCAAAGTTCCTATCTTACAAAGGGTCTATCATCCTCACCTGTTGAAATCAATGTACTGTAAAACTGAACAATGGGATGAACAAACTGTATTTTCTTAACTTTACATACTCATGTGGAATCAATCTTTCTTTAAACACAACCAAAATGTCAATGTTTGAAAACACTATTTTAATAAAACTTAAAAGTTAGAGCTGATCTTTATTATATAACTCTCCAGCTGATTTTAGGTTTGTAGACATTCTACTATTTTTATGAATACAAAAATTTACTTAGTCCATTGCTGGAATGGACAGGAAGAACTGGCATGCCAAAGAGAGAGAAGAGAATAGATCATGATGCATTTCCACATAATAAAAATGGAAAATATTGAAAATAGATGCCTGAGCAACCGAAAATGGAATAAGCTAAAAAAGTAATTGACATTAATGGGAGTATAGTGGTTACAGGTTGGGCTACTAGCCAAAAGGTCAACAGTTTGAAACCACCAGCCTCTCCTCAGAAGACAGTATTTTCTATTCTCATAATTCTAGTGATATGCTTTTAATATATAAATAAAAATATGTAAATTTCATAAGCAAATGTGAAGAAAGCTGCTGGTACCCAGCTATCAAGACATAGTGTCTAGGGTCTTAAATGCTTGAAGATAAACAAGTGGCCATCTAGCTCAGAAGCAATAAAGTCCACATGAAAGAAGCACACCAACCTGTGTGATCATGAGGTGTCGATGGGATCAAGTACCAGGCATCTAAGACCCAGAACAAAATCATACCAATGTGAAGGGGGGCGGGGCATGGAGTGGAGCCCCAAAGCCCATCTGTAGATAATTGGACATCCCCTTGAAGAAGGGTCACAAGGAAGAGATGGGCTAGTCAGGGTGCAGTACAGCACCGATGAAACATACAACTATTCTCTAGTTCTTTAATGCTTCCATCCCCCCACTATCATGGCCTCAATTCTACCTTACAAATCGGATTAGACCAGAACATGCACACTGCTACAGTTAAGAGCCCGCAACACAGGGAATCCAGGATAGATAAACCCCTCAGGGCCAACAATGAGAATAGAGATACCAGGAAGATAAGGGGAAGCTGGGAAGAGAATGGGGGAATCGATCACAAGGATTAACATATAACACCCTTCCAAGGGGACGAACAACAGAACAGTGGGTGAAGGGTGGCAGAGGATGATTTAAGATATGAAAATAATCTCTAACTTATCAAGGGTTCATAAGGGAGGGAGAGCGAGGGAGGGAAGAGGAAAAATTAGCTGAAATCAAGGGCTCAAGTAAAAAGAAAATGCTTTGAAAATGATGGCAACAGATGGACAAATGTGCTTGAAACAATGAATGAATGTATGGATTGTGATAGGAGATATAAGAGCCCCCAGTAAAAGTATTTAATAATAATAAATAAATACAGACATACAATTGATGTTTATACAGATGTTTGTATATTTGTGTTTCAAGTCCCTTGTCCCTTCCCTCCAACATCCTAAAACCAACAGTCCAATCCAAATTAAGCAAGCTATATTTCAAGTATTTAAACAGTAGGCATTAAAACTAAAATTTTTTATACACAGTGACAGTGATTTCAATTCTTTCATTCATACTTGAAACACACAAATGTACAGAGGCGGCTATAACAGTGTAAAATGAAGTAGTATTTCTAAATAGTGAAAAAGAAAACAAAATGTTTATTAATAGGATGTTGGGTTAATTAAATGACAGTCCTTTGATACTATGATACAGCTAAAGAGCTGCATATGCTATATATACACATACAGTATGCTTTATTATTACTCAGCTAAATATTGATGTACAACTACTTGTATACTGAAATGAAAACTCCTCCAAATTACTGTGAATCAGAGAAAAAGGCTGCAAAATCATACTCGGTATATTTTAAATATTATATACTTTATAAAAACCACAAAGCTTTTTCAAAAAACTGGTATACATTGATGTAAATATTGAAATACTGCCATGTTCATGTTTATATATTCTCTATGGTTGCTTTTCTGTTGAATAATTATGATAGACTGCAGAGTCCAAAACATTTATATAGTGGCCCTTAACAGAAATCATTTGCCAATGTCTGATGTATGGCGTGTATTTAAGCCTGGCAAAGAGTGGTAACAATAAATATATACCAAGAAAATTATTAAGCATATATACATATCTGACTTTAAAACACTTTGTTAATTTGACAAATTGAGATTTTTTTTCCCCAAGAAACAATCTTTACCTGTACCATTGCAACAAGATCTTGTAATTGTCGAAGTTTCTGTTTTGCAGCCATAAGTCTATTGATCTTATGCTCAAATTCAGCATCCTCTGGAACCTCATTAACCACACTGCTGCGATGACTAGATAATGAAGCTCCACTGACTTCTTCTCCATCCTCATCCTCATCCTCATCCTCATCATCACCTTGTCCAACGTGAATCCCATGTTCTCCCTCTCTGTTATATCGACTGTCTGTTGAATACACATATCATCAAAATTAAAATTTTAATGATACATTTTAAAGTTTTAATGAAACATCACTTCCCAAAAGTAATATGGCACAATTATTTATAAATATAGTCCATCATACCTAAAGAAGGAGGCATGTTTAGAGCTCTTATGTTGGTAGCAGATCTGTTGTTAATTTCACAATTAGAATTAAATGATCTCCCATCTCTATTATTAGAAATACACTGCGCATTAGTATTACAGTTTACTTCATTCCAAGTGGCAGTTACCTGAGGATTTCTAACAGGAAAAAAAGAGTGAAACTACTGAAGGTTTACAACAAAACTGCTGATCAAATCATTTGAAACAAACAACAATATCGGCTATTTCCCAATTTAAATACAAAAAAAAAATTAGTGTATGCATATATGCTATTTGGAAATGTTAAAATATAACAACTAAAAATAATTACACCTAGAAATATACAAACAGAAAAGTACTAAGCTAGATACTTAGGATTCACTTGTATTTTATCACATGAACAACAAATTTACTAAACTACTAGTACTCGATATTGCCCTATTTGTTCAGAGAATAGATAGCAATTGTAAGGGTGCTTTTTCTAACAAGACAGATTATGATTACTCTGATTATAATAATGGACTAACAAGAGGCAACCATGAAAGAAGCAAATAGTGAACAATCTGCTATTTTTTTCCACATTAAAGATATTAGATTAGGAAGAGTTTATTAGAAAAATAAACAAACAATGATTCTAACCGAATGTTAGTAACAGGTTCAGAATTTTCAGGCTCAGAATCATATTCTGACTCTTCAGTTTCCTCATCTTTTGTGTTCTCATTTACAGCATCTGTCATCATATCTGATGTTTGTTCATAATAATGAACCAGTTCTCTGAGTTCATTCAATCTCTTTTGAACTTCATTTAACTTCCTGAAAAACAAACACATCATATATACAATATTTATATCCATTTTAACATAAACATGCTATTACCATATTATACAGCAGGAACACAAATAAAAGCTGGACTTGATCTAATATCTAGGAATGTACCCTATAAATTAAGTTTAAGTATGAGTTATTTGAGACTTCATTATTCCAATTTCTTATGTTGTAGTAGGGACAAAGAAAAAAAAACCTCAATTTATTTCTTTAAAAAATAAAAAACCCAAAATGCTACTGCTGACAATTCTAACTCACAACGATCCTTCAAGACAGGATAAAACTGTCTCATAATGTTTCTGAGGCTGTAGTTTTTATAGAAGCAGATTGTCACATTTTCCTGAGAAGAGACTGCTGAATTTGAACTACCAACCTTTTGGTCAGCAGCTGAACACTATTAACCACTGTGCTGCCAAGATGCCTTCATTTTAAGGAGATATAGATTCTAAAAAGCATAAAGCCCAATGTCAAAAATAATTTGTAAGGTCTCTTGGTAGGTATCAAAGGAGCAGAGTACTAAATATCCGATTTAAATACTGTAACCAATTCAGTACATAACTAAGCATTTACAGAGGGTTCCCATTTTGTCTGCACCCTAGAGTTCTTCTACAAAATAGCTTATCAAAAACTACAATTTAGATTGGTTGTACTCTTACTAAATGCAAGGACCATGCTAAATGCTTGTAATTCTTAAAATGCCTTCACAAATTAAGTATTATTATCCCTATTTAACAGATGAGGAAATAAGAGGCTGAAGATGAGACATCTGACCTACGCCCCACAGTCATGATATAATTTCAGGACTGTCTGGTTGTAGAACCTGGCCTCTAATTCATTTGAATACAGAAATATTTTCACTGTAGCTTCAGAAGTTTCTGCTTTTTTAATCTGAAAAAAGCAGAATAAAATAATACTAGTGCACAGACATTACCTGTTATTTCACATTTCTTTTGAACAAATCAAAGATACATGCACATTTTTTTCTATTATTTAAAATGCACTCATCATAATAAGGAACTTTCTCCAAAATCTTTAATACAAAGTGAAATATGCAATCTAACCCCATTCTTAAATTCTATCTATGTAAACAATGTTTGTAAAAATGTTTTACTGGAGTTTTTCAGTTGGATTTAGATGCCCTTCATTTTCACTTTCATTCTGAGAAACGAGAGCAGCAGTTGGATAAGGAACAGAAGATGTGAGGCCAGTGGGTTCTCCATTCACAACTGTTGCCAAGGCGCCAGGGGCAGAGGGAGCTGACGATGTACTTCTTTGATCTGTACTCCTTTGAGGGGAGGCTGAAGAAGGCACAACTACAAAGATAGAAAACATAACTAGTTTCCAACCAAGACCAAACAAACATGATGCCAGGCAACTCTTGGGTATCACAGACATCTTTAATTAGGTTGATTTAAAATTTTAGAAATTCAAGATAAAACACCCAGGTACCACAATTAAACACATCAAAATGCTTGAAGAAGACACGTTGCCACTATGTTTCCCCCCCCTTCTTCAGATTCTATCACTTTTACATTCTAGCCTCTGGGTTAAAAACAAAGTAAAGAAGAAAAAAGGGTAAGTCCAAATTGACGAGAGTTGTGACATCTTCTCTTGCTGGAGTAATTAGGAGAGCTCTGATAAACTTGGTCTAGGATAACTGACCTAGACCATTATGTGTAATATATATTCACAATGAGTATTACCTTTATAGAGCAGCCCTGGATAATTATCCTTTTGTGTTTTCCAAATATACAAACTCAGAGGATAAAATATCTGGGTTCCAAGCCGAAGCAAAAGTACTAGTGACTTGTGGTACGTACATGCATGACAATGGAATACTAGCTAGTAATAAAAATTTCTAGTTAAACAATAATTGATTCTCTATAAACTTTGAACTAAATTCTAATTATTTTCTACTCCATACATCTGCCAAAGATATATTATGCCTTCTAGGGCAATTAATACAGATTACAAATCTTAGTAGTTATTTAACTCACTCAATTCAAAACTATTGTCTTCTCTCTTTCCCACAAGACTATTGTTCATTTCTAATGCCACAATTACTACAACTGGTCTCCAGTAGTGTCTTAACTCTATTCTTTGACCATTCTACCCTTTGATGTTGTTTAACTTTTCCCAGCAGGAAGAAAATGACAAAATGCTTTCTTTCTGTGTTCAAGACTGCTTTCTAGGCCTTAAACACTTTTTATTTTTGAGTTTTCCCTAGTTGAGTTATCTGTTTGTAAGAGAGATGGAGACTAGGATGGTACTCTGGAGGAGGAGACTCTAGCAAGAAGTCAGTGAACAGGAAGGAATATATTTCTAAGTAGGAAAAAGTAAGGCACTTATGGAGGGGACAAAATAATATGGCTAGAGAATATACATTAGGGACCAGAGACTGCTTTTACCCCTTGCCTTTTCTTTACAAAGACAGGGGGCTGGAAAGAACAGAGTGAACAGTAGGTTTTTGACGGATGATACTGAGCTTCTTTCTAGTTTTTTCTCACAATTTGATTCCTGTGTATTCCCTCTGGCAAGGTCCACAAATAGTCACTATTTATATTGAAAAGGTATGTGCTATGAATGATGACATCATTGGTCTTGCAAAAATTCTACTATGCGATATTCACAGCTTCATTTCTAGCTACAAAACCATCTTTTCCAATTATTGTTCTTTGTTTACAACTTTAGCAGGCCAATTGTCAATAATTATTAATACATTTAAATTACCTATTTGATCAAGTTCAGACTGAAGAAATTTGTACAATTCTTCTCTTCATCACTAGCTTTAGTGGTTGGAACACAAATCTGAGTAATAGTTGCATTAACTGGACTTCCTTGTAGGCATATACTTATCACCCTATCACAGATAAACTTCAAGACAGACCTAGACATGTCCTTTAAAAGTTTTGACATACAACTCATGTATAATAAAATTCAATAGTTTAATATTACAAGTTCTGCAATCATTATCACAATTTTAAAACATTTTCTTTTTAAATTTTTAATAATTTTATTGGGGGCTCTCAGTTCTTTTAACAATCCATACATCAATTTTATCACACACATATGTACATATGTCGCCATCAACATTTCTAAAACATTTTCTATTTGAGCCCTTGGTATCAGCTCCCTTTTTCCCCCTCCCTCCCCGACCCTCCACTCTTGACCCCTTGATAATATATATTTTTATTTTCATATTTTACACTGTCTGCTGTCTCCCTTCACCCACATTTCTGTTGTTTGTCGTCCCCCCCCCCCGCCTGCCCCCCCCACCCGTGTGTGTACGCGCGTGGGGGGGGTGTACATCGATCATTACGATTGGTTTCCACTCTCTCCCCCTACCTTTCTCCTACTCTCGTGGTATCGCTATTCTCATTACTGGTCCTGAGGGGCTTGGTTTATCTGTCCTGGATTCTGTGTGTCAAGAGCTCTTATCTGTACCAGTGTTCACACTCTGGTCTAGCCAGATTTGTAATTTTCTTTTTTTGGGTATTCATTTTATTAGCTCCCCATTCCACCGCTCGAGCCTCCCCTGCCATAAAATAAGAAACTACTGATCTAGTTACTAGCTCTATAGATTTACCTATCCTGGATTTCATACACAGAAAAACATACAAAACAGAAGCAAAACAACAACAATCACAAAATAAAACAGAAAAAAATGGCAATAAATTAATGGATTGTTGTAAGAGCTTAAGAACCCCCAATAAAATGATTTATAGAGAAATAGATACATAGAAAAAAAGCAATGAATTTTTAAAAGTAGAAAAAGGAGAAAGTTTAAAAAAGGAGAAAAAAATGATAAAGTGTTACATTTTAACCTAATTACATCTGCATTAATCCAGTTTCCAACACACTGTCTGATAACAAGGCTATTCACATCCCTCAACTATGGTCAGAGGGCATTCACTGGAAGCTTAATCCACACGGGGACCCTGCAAATGGATCTGGGGATTTTACTTTCATCCATATCCTTCCTGTGTTTCTTATTTGTTTCTCCTACTCCCCTGACTAATCTGAACATAGTCCTTGACTAAATGCTGCCTTAAAAAAAAAACAACTCAAATGGCTGATTATTCTAAGGAGTGTATAACTCCTTAGACGTTACTGTTCCCCTTCTAGATCTGTCTAGTGTGTGCCTGAAAACAACCTTGGAAGTGAGTTCAGTACTAGACCTGAAGAATGAAAAATTCCCCAAACGTCTTAAATCCCCTCTAACGTACATGTTCTCCATAATGACTAAAGCCATATTTACTTACATGAAGAATTGTTTAAATGCTGATCCCGAAGTGTGTGAAGTTCTCCAAGCAATTTGTCCATTTTTTGTTTCTTTTCCTGCAACACTCTCATTTTACTAAAAAGTTGGACTTTCTCATCAGGCAAATGTTCTGAAATGGATGGATTTCTGCTTTGAGAAACCTCCCTAGTTAATGAAAGACTTTCTGCCTGTCTTCTATTATCTGGAACAGCTGGAGGCTTTAAAAAAAGAAGAAACATGTAAAGCTAAAGTATAACAGTTTCAGTCTCGCCTTTTCATTTTAAAAATGCCAGGATACATCAAGTTTGTGGAGCAAAAAGAAGTAAAAGATCATGGGTTTTTTTCCCCCCACACTTTCTGAAGTCCTTTCATGTACATAATCGACTGCTCGATTACTCTCCAAAGAGCTGCACTACATTCTCTTTCACTCGGTTAAGAACACATGAGGCAACACATCTTTTTCAATATACTCATTTCCATGGAGGCATTACTAATAAATCCTTACACATCCTTAATACCCACAGATTAAAAACTTGCGTTTATATCATTATTTACAAGGTCATAATATTACAATGCTTATTTACCCTCAAAATTAAACATAAAAACCCTCTAAAAATTCTTAGTAAAATATTACAAGGACAGATTTAAACCTAAGTCTTAAATAATTATGATCATTAACAATCTTCTCAGGAAAATGATGTATTATCTAGTAACAGACAAAGGAAAATGATATCAATTCATTCAAAGTATATTTTCTTCTAACATCGTGTTTGTCAATGTATAGACCCCAGACCAGTAGCACTCACTACAATTACGTGGGGGAAGCCTACCACAAACCTACAAATTAGCATGTAGACCCAGATGATTTAAGAATCTGAACTTTTAAAATAATCAGGCCAGGTGATTTATTTTAGTGAACATCAATGTGCACTAATATTTGAAAACTGTTCTAAATAACTCAATTACATTAAAGATATTAAATTACCTGAGAATCTCGAAGCTGATTATGAAAACGCTGAATCAAATCATTTAATTCTTCATTTAATTCAGATGTTATACTGATTCCTGATAAACTACCTGTAGTTTCTGTTACAACTAGAAAAAATTAACACTCATTAAGACAAACAAATGAATACTTTTCGATTTGAGAAACTAAAAGTAAAATTTGAAGACATAAATGGAATCAAGAAAATAAAAGCTTAAAATTTGAAACCGGTTAACGCTCTGATCTACCCACCACCAGCCCTTTACTTAAATGCAACCAGCCCTTTACTTAAATGTTTCCACCTAACCTAAAAATAAATGGACGCTTACAAGGCTTTGATTCCATAGGAAGATGCTGTGGGGTTAGATAAGAAAAAGACAGAAAGAAGTGTTGAGGAAATGTGTAATTATTAATTACAGATTAGTAATAAGCACAAGTATGTTTGCACTTATTTTCCTTATTGCATAATACACCTCTGATTACCAGTCTAGGTTGGGGCTAAATATTAACCAGAAAAAGCACAGCAGATTGTGACAGGTCTCAAGTTTCACCTCCTCCCAACAGAATTATCGTCTTAGTCCAGTATCTGCCAAATTTTTTCCTACAATGATTAGGGATTATGTATGCTAAACTTTGAGGGTTAGTTTGTTACAACTGCCACTGTAGGGCAAAAGCAGATATCGACATTAAACAAATGAACATGGCTGTATTCCATAAACTGTATAAAAAACAAGCAGTAACCAAATCCAGCTGGGACATAGTGTGGTTTGTCAAACCCCATAGGACAGATAATTTATTGAAATAGTTGCTTGTGATACAAGCCATACTAAATGACTGTGTCTTTTATCTTCTTTTAAAATAAAAGGCTTCATATTCCTAAAGTAGTTTTCTGATAAGTTTGTTATCGATAGCTGCTCTACTTACTATCCTGTCAACTCACCATTATACACACTCCCAAATCTCTCGCTCTACCAGGGAAACAAGCTCCAAACTGCATTTGTTATAAAGAAAAATTCCAGCTTTCCCCACCAACAAAACAAACTTAGAATTCCAGGACTAGATGACATCCTGGTTACTTAGTTCAAACTCTTACGTTGCAAACAAAGAAATTACAATCCAGATCCCTAACCTACAACTTGCTCAAGTAACAGGAACAGCCTTTCCCATGACAAGTATGCTCTTCGTTTGCATACAAGGGGACTTAAGTTCACAGAAAAATGGAATAGAAAGACAATGGAATTTTTTATGAACTTTTGAAGCCTCCCCTTTTACCAGAAGGGTATGCATTTTAATTCTTTCTTTTCAGTACAGACCCTTCTCAGGTATGAAGGAGATCCATTACTGTATCTTTAAGAATTTGTAGGTTGTTTTAACAGGTGCATTAGGTTCTTATTTAGCCTTCCCTTAATGCTAGAAAAGGAGCCCTGATGGCATAATGGTTATGAACTGGGCTGTGAACTGAAAGGTCAGCTGCTCCTCGGGAGAAAGACATGGCTTTCTACTTCCATAACCGTTAACAGTACAAAACCACTGGCCACTCTGCCATGGGGGGAAAAACGGGCTTTCTACTCCCATATAGAGTAACAGTTTTGAAAACTCACAGGGGCAGTTCTACCCTGTACTACAGGGTGGCTGTGAGTCAGCATGGACTCAAATGGCAGTGAGAATTAGTCTAAGGCAAGAAAGCAGCCCTAGTGGCACAGTGGGCTGCCAACCACAAGGTCAGTGGTTCAAACCACCGGCTGCTTAATGGGAGGAAAATGAGGCTGTCAGCTTCTGTAAAGATTTTCAACCTCAGAAACCCAGAGGTACAGTTTCACTCTGCCTTACAGGGTCATTATGAGTTGGAATTGACTTAAAAGCAGTGGGGTTTTTTGGTTTTGTTTTCTGTGCAAGATGAAGCTCAAAGCTTTTCAATGATGTAGCTGCAAGTACAGCAAGTGAAGGTGATTATAATGAACTAACATGGGTTGGTTCAATTGTTTCAAGGTAAGGGCAAATTTACTTAACATCAAAAATCACACAGGAGTGATCTAAACCCAAAATAAAACTCCAAATTCATTGCCACAGAGTTGAGTTTGATCATATTGGCCCTCCAGAACAGAGTAGAACTTCACCTCTAGGTTCCCAAAATTGTAAATCTTTACAGGAGCAGAAAGCCTCATCTTTCTCCTGCAGAGCAGCTGGTAGATTCAAACTGTTGACTTTTCAGTTATCAGTCTAGCCCACAGCCCAGCAGAGTTCCTAGAATATTAAGAGTTCCTTCTCTATAAAATAAGAATGAAAGCTCTAGCTACTCAAGTGAAATTCTGTATCATCAAATGAGGTGATGTAAATGGGAATAAGTGATTAGCATAACTAGCTAAGAAAAGAATTCCAAATCTAATTTCCAAACTTGAAAATTATTCAGGTTTACCATTAACCAAACTAGTACTAGTTATTATGTTAAATTTGTATTCTAAGTTATTTATTTCTTCAACAGAAGTATAAAAGTTAATGATACTTTTCACTTTATAAGGGCAATATACCAAAATGTGATTACTACTGTTAATAATACACTATTAACTACATACTTTTACAAAGTCTAAGTTATTTCAAAGTCATAAAATTCTTTATAAATTAGGTAATAATGACCCAGGCCAGGAGGAGGTGTGGGCAGGAGGGTCAAATGAGAATCATCTCTGTGGCAAAAATGGAGTGTCCAAGAGGAGAAAAGTTATTAGGCCAGGAGGGTGGTGACAGACTGTTTTATTAAGTAACAATTTTATTTTAGTAAGAAACAATTTTATTTTCAACTTAATGAGAAATTAAACAGGGCTGAAGGTAATGAAACTACAAAATCAAACTCGCTACTAAAAATTCAAAACACTTTTTACCTAAATGATATATGTAGCTATGAAGAAAGGAGGAGCAGAGGAATTTTTCTGAGTCGCAGGACAACAGTGTGGGGTAAATATAGTTCCAAGGAGCTACCATATGTAACTGGAGATCTAACTGAAATCACAGAAGCCATAGATGTTCTATAAATGTATGCAATACACCACTTCAAAGGTTTAACTTTAACCCTTTCTTGAGAAACAAGCAACAATTCTAGATGAATTAAATCTTTTAGAGCCAAAAGGTGAGTAAAAGGATCCAGAACTCTTATCAGTCTGAGGTACAAAAACCCCTGCACCAGTCTTTTTTACCTCTTACAGGTTCTCTCTGATGAAAAGAAGAATGAGCTGTCTGTCTGCCCGGTATGGTTTGATGGTCAGAGGTTGTTCCTGTGGTCTTTTCTGCATAACCAGAGAAAAGCACAGGATAAAACAAGCCTCACATGAAGGTTTTTAAACTAGTCAACAGTCAAGAACTGATGAGCTAATAACAAGCATTTACTTGTGCAATACACCATTATTCATGACCCTTGCTTATAAAAACAAGATTCTAAGACTGTGTCATACCAGAATCATCCATCACAGCAATGGCCTGCTCCGCTTTATGTTGCAGAGCCAGGAGAGCAGCCTGTCGTCCCTGCAGAGCTCTCAACTGCTCCTGCTGTTGCAACATCCTTTTTAATAAATCATGTTGTTTCTTCAAATTTTCTATCTCTTCCATGGGCTCCTGCTGAGGATCCCTGGCCTGGAAAATAAAACCAACAAAACTTTTATCTGACTGATGGAATCAACATTTGTTTCACTACCAAAGGCAAAGTGCAAGTAGATAATAAATTAGTATTAAATCACAGTCCTAGACATAGTTCCTGTGGACTTGAACAATGACACTGAGATAGCCTTATCACGGTATAAGAGCTCATTTCATGAAGAAAGACCTTAAAAAGTGGTTTAGCATGAAGAAAATTCAAATAAAAAGCTTAAGAAAGAAAGATGAGACGGTTAAGACAGTAAACGGGGACACACACACACACACACACACACACACACACACACACACACGGGATCCAGACTCTACATAAATGTGAAAGCGAAATATACCTGTTTAGTACCCTGCAAATCTAAGACCAGATGTGAAGACACTTCTTGCTTTACTCCTAGAAGTTATGTTTAAAACTGTACACACACTCTTCCAGAAAACAAACTCATTTTAGAACTTTTTATCATTTTAAATGAAGATCAAAAATTTTAAAACATTTCACATAATTTTATGTAAATAGGTTTTAGTGCAATTGTGCCAAATATAAAGTGTGAGGTTTCATTTATTATTTTTAAAATTTTAATACATCATTCTATTGGGGGCTCTTACAGCTCTTATAACCACCCATACATCAATTGCATCAAGCACATTTGTACATATGTTGCCATCATCACTTTCAAAATATTTTCTTTCTGTTTGAGCTCTTGGTATCAGCAACTTTTTCCCCCTCCCACACCCACCATCATGGACCCCTGATAAGTTATAAATTATTATTTTCATTTAATACACTGCCCACTGTCTCCCTTCGCCCACTTAACTGTTGTTTGCCCACTGGAGGGGCAGGGGGATTATACATCGGTCATTACAGCCAGTTCCCTGTTTCTGCCCTTTTCCCCCACCTTCCCTCACTGTATCACTAGAGGGATCTCATTATTGCTGTATATACTTGTATATAAGCTGCGTTTTTCAGCACATTTTAAATGAAATTTTGTGGTAAAATTAGGTGCCTCAGAAGATATTCAGGTCGGCTTATACTTGAGTATATACGGTATCTTTTCGCTTGAATATGCCCAAAGAGCTGTATTTGAGGCCACAAATACAAGTAAAATTTTCCAAATTCCTTCCACAGATAGGAGGTTATCATCTTGCATAAAAGTAGGGGAGTAGCTTAAGTACTACTTATGAAAAACTATCATATGTTAAATGCTAATCTTAAAATTATTCAAAATGTAATCCCACAAGAAAAAGTCAATTAAGCAAAAAGACGCATTTTAGTATTTACAAAATAACATTTGACTACAAAATAATTTTTTAAAAACTTTAAGCCAGATTATGTATTTAAATGTACATAATGCTATTTTCATCATTGATGTGTTTTGAAAAAATCTTTTATTAAAGTTCAATAATTTCAGCTAATATCTTTATACATTTTAAGATAAAGTGAGGTTTGCCGTCAACCTGGAACATTTGTTATAATTAATCAATTTTAAATTGACATTATCTTTCACTATTAGTTAGGGTTATGTAGATCTGAATCTCTTCAAAAGTTACTAAGGAGAATAAAGAAGTTCAGTGATTGATTTTCAAAGTAGAAATACACTGACCTCCTTCCCCCATGCACCTTTTATTCTTGAACAAACTACAGAAAACCCAGGTGGCTCAAGAGAAATTTCCTTCCGGGTAACATCGCTTACCTATGGTAGGCAAAAAACTCTTTAACCCTACAAGTACTCAGTATCATGACTAAGAATAAGTTATTGTGATAAAACTTTACAATGTGACTTGTCATCAGTAAAATTAGTAACTAAACATTAACTAGTTATCTAGCACAGAATTCAATTTTCAAAGGAAGATCAAATAGCAAGTAGAATACTATGTGATGCACATAAAAGGAACCTAGCTAATGCTTATCTACTCTGGACTAGCTCTACACTTCATGATAGACCCTATCTTACTTAAGCCACTCCTTATTGGAAGGTTTTCTATGTTTGCATTTCTAATAACATCCCCTATCAAATAAACCACTCATTTCTCTCTCCTCCTATACAAGTGACATTTCCTTAACAAAATGTATCTTCCTGTTTCTAGTTTATCTGAAGACTCTTATCTTGAAAAAACTTGGGGATGAGGGAATAACTATTGATAAAGTTATAAATAACATTTCACAATCTATACTCTTCAAAGGTGAGCCATATTGAGTGGGAGGAAAAACCATGATTGGGTATAAATAAAGTGGAGTTCTGGGGAAAAATAATTAACAAAAACTATTTTAAAAATTAAAAATATGCCAATACGATTTTACAAAGACTAAAAATTCAGAAATAATAGTTCTTAAAATATTAAGTATTTCCAGGTCGATATCTACTCTTCAAGCACATTTTAATTTCATTTCCTTTTAGTACCTTCACCTACTATAATCTTTAGTGTAGAAATAAACAAAAAAACAACTTAGACATGAAATCCAGAGTTTCATAAAGTTCACTTGCAGAAAACTAAGTTCCTCTAATAATCATTCAGGGGTTCAAATACAATTTTCCAGGTTAAAAAATACTTCAGACAATATGCACTCCAATCTTCTCAAATAAAAGGTGAGAAAACTGTAAGTCCAATAAAGATAGGGCTGTGATTTATCCAATATCACAGTTATGGGAAGTTCTAAAGTCCTGTGTTCTAGTGCAGTACTATTTGCACCATTACTGTCTGTCTCCGGAGATCTGGCGGAGCAGTAGTTATGAGGTGGTTGCGAGTCACATGGTTGGCAGTTGGAAAGCAGCAGCTGCGCAGTGAGAGAAAAAAGGGGCTTTCTAGTCCCGTAAAGTTACATTTTCCGAAACTCACAGGGACAGCTCTACCCTGTCCTACTGGATCGCTCGATGGGTCAATATTGATTTGACAGCAGTGAGTCAGTCTCCAAACTCACTAACTATACTTATACCTGGGATTAGTTTAAACACAAGACATAGACGACATAATTGGTACCCTGAAGAAGCAGAGTCTATTTGGGAGACATGGATAACCCATATAAATAAAACTAAAAATGATGAAAATAATAGCAAATAAAAGTTACATAGTTTAAAGAGCTTACACAGTTTCTAAGAGCTGAGAGTAGGTAAAAGAGGGTTTAGAAAACCGAGAGCATGAGTAGTCATGAAATGCTTTTCTTGTAAAATCAAATAGTTCATAAAATGGACTTAAAACAGTTCTAGAACACTGAATCATCTCATAGTGCGCCATAGTCAAAGCTCTTTTCAGCTCTGAATCGCAAATAAAAATGCTATTTCCTCCCCTACTCTTCTAACAGAATACTACATGTTGAAAGAACTCTAAAGAGAGCATGGAGGTAGGTAGGAAGAATAACAGATGCTATACAGCAAGGACAGAATAGAGCCACCAGGTGGGAATTAAGACTTTTCTAGGAAATTAAAGTCTTTCTATGAATAGAATATTGACAGGGCTATCCTATAGTGATTTAAGAATCAAAAGACTAAAGGAAATCAATCGGAATAAACTCCAGGAAGAAAGTTCAAGAGAGAATATTAATCAATGAGGATATTTTTTTAAAATCCTAAAAACAAAATTTTAAAAATAAATATTACACCAAAAATAAGAAATACATTGTGGTAATTATCAACTAAGATAAGAACAAAGGGTTCCAAAGAAATGTTAATTTTTTGCTTCTTATTTAATTCTAATTGGATTTTTAATTTAATTTTATTATTATTTAACTTTAAAATAAGCAGCTATTTTATTTTCCTCTTCTGTTGAATTGGAGCACCTATTGCATAATATTCCCCGATAAAATCCTCTTATTTGTACCTTTAAACTTTTGTGAGAGCCCAAAATGGGGGGGCGGGGAGGGGGCTGCCAAAATATTTAGTTATGTTGTTCATTTTTAAGCAGCTATAAAAAGAAAATAAAAACTATCTATAAAACAGGGGAGAAAAATGCCTAACTCTAGATAATACATCAGTAATAAGCATATGATATTAGTCTTATCTATACTCAATTATTAAAAATAACTTGTTCATGCCGCATAACTAAAAGCTTTTTTTAAAAAATCATTTTATTGGGGACTCGTACAACTCTTACCACAATCCATCCATACATCCACTGTGTCAAGCACATCTGTACATTTGTCATCATCATTCTCAAAACATTTTCTATTTGAGCCCTTAGTATCAGTTCATTTTTTCGCTCCTTCCCCTAACCTCCCCCCTCTCTCACAAACCCTTGATAATGTATAAATTATTATTTTTTCATGTCTTACACTGACCTATGTCTCCATTCACCCAATTTCTCTTATCCGTTCCCCTGGGAGGGTAGATCACTGTGTGACTGGTTCTTCCTTTCTCCCCCGCCTGCCCCTTACCCTCCTGGTATCACTACTTTCATTATTGGTCCTGAGGGATTTATCTGTCCTGGATTCCCTGTGTTTCTGATTCCTATCTGTACCAGTGTACATCCTCTGGTCTACCCGGATTTGTAAGGTAGAATTGGGATCATGATAGTGAGGGAGCGGAAGCATTAAAGAACTAGAGGAAAATTGTATGTTTCATCGTTGCTACACTGCATCCTGACTGGCTCGTCTCCTCCCCACGACCCTTCAGTAAGGGGATGTCCAGTTGCCTACAAATGGGCTTTGGGTCTCTACTCTGCACTCCCCCTCATTCACAATGATATGATTTTTTTTTGTTATTTGATGCCCAATATCTGATCCTATCGACACCTCATGATCACACAGGACGGTGTGTAAAAGCTTTTTTACAAATACTATTTCTATTAAAAGGATTTTAAGTAAAGCTACAAAAGCAATTATCGTTAAACTTTCTGAGTACCTCTAATGTATGTTGTTTCCCAAACTTATGTGGCCTACCATCCTTTTCTGAAAAACTACTCGGCATTCCCCGGCACTTAGAAATTTTTGCACTACAACCCACAGTCCAGGATACAGTGTAGGTAGCAGCCCCTCTGGATTATTCCAAAGGAGCCCTGGTGTGGTGTGGTTACGAGTTGGGCTGCTAACCGCAAAGTCAGAAGTTTAAAACCACCGGATGTTCCATGGGAGAAAGATGAGGCCTTCTACCACTGTAAAGAGTTAGTCTCAGAAAGCCACAGGGGCAGTTCTCTCCCATCTCACTGCTATGAGTCAGAACCCACTTGCTGGTAGTAAACCTGCTTTTTCCTAGATAGGTTCAGCCTACCCACACTGGGCAGTATCACCCACTTCAGGAAACACTGCTCTAATTAAAATGATAGGAAATTCAAAGAAAAAGCATTTTGAAAACTGAAGAAAAATAAGGCAACACATCAACAATCAATAAAATAACTAAATACCTTTCTTTTTAAAAATTACAAGAATAGAAGTGATTTCCAATAGGAACAAAAATATAAATCAAACAATACAATAAAAGCATTTTATTCTTAAAGATGAGAAATAACAGCTTGTTCAACTTTTTTAACATATAAACTGACTCAGGGAATAAGACTAAAATTTAAAAGTCCTAAATAGAAGTTCTTTTTTTAATCTAAGGAGCCCTGGTGGTATAATGGTCATGCATCGGGCTGTGATCCACATGGCCGAAACCACCAGCAGCTCCCAAGACTTTCTACTTCTATAAACAAGTACAATCTCAAAATCCCACAGGGGTCAATATGAGTCAGCATTGACACATTGAGTGATGAATTTTAATCTACATCAGCAACAAAAGGCAAATGATGGGTGGTCAAGATTAAAAACTGTTGAATTTTGAGCTGTCAATAGTAAAAAAGAAAGAGGATTTTTCAATTCCTTTAGTATAAATTAATAACAGCCACCACATGTAATCCATGAACAGGTGTATAAGAAAGTAGGAAGAAATAAAAACACTGATGAAGTATCTTTTTAAAGCAAATTACATATAATTCTACCCTTATGGATGTATACACATATATTTAAGAGCAACAGCAACTAAAGGAAAGGAAATAAAGGGTAAATAAACAATAAGGCCTCAAAGACTTCCTAAGTTAATATTGTGCAGTGTGCCCCTGAGGATAATTCAAGTTTGGGGTAGTATTTCTTCTTTGGCATCAGTTCCCTAGCTTTTGAGGTTTGTCACATTTCCCTTTTGCACTTGTAGTAACATCAATGCCTGAAACCTGTTCTTGTGAAGGTGATTTCCCTAGTGTTCCTTAACGTACAGCCAAATTCTCAGACTAAAAAATGTCTATGAATTTCTTAACACGAACACCCGTTTAGTAGATAAACCAGTTTGTAAATAATTATGAGCAAATCACACCAGCTCACCTTTTGGCCTTTAACAATTACCCATTCATTTAGCAGAAAACTTAAGACATTCATGTTTCTGTAGGACAGATTGTTACTTATTGTAATAATCCTAAACTATTTCTAGTTTTATAGTAAATCTTAAAATACATTCCAACATTTATTGTTACATATTCTTAATCATTTTCAAAATGTCGTAATTCTATACCAGTCCGTCCCCATCCCCACCCCCAAAGAAAGTCTTAATCTCTTATCACCAACCCTTCAATTTCTGCTGGGCTCATGTGTGAAAAAGAAATTACTCCTCAGCATCATTGTAAACAGGAAAATAATTTTAATTCATTCCTAAAAACTATTGAGATCAATCCCCCTGAGCAAACTCTCGCTAAAAATGACAGAGAAAAATTCAAATTTCTTGTTGAAAAATTAGGAAGGGTGGGGAAGAGAAAGGAGGCAGACACAGGTCGATACTGAAAGGAAACAAACCCTCAAATTGCTGATGCTGGATAGTATTTTGGAGTATAAATCAAAACCAAAAGAAAGACATGTACTGTCTTCCTTTAAACAAGAGGGTAGCTTTACACATTTACTAATGCTTGGCTAGCTCGATTACCATTCAATCTGTAAAAATTCCCCCAAAACGTCAGGTATTTTTCTCAAGGGCAGTATTTTGGCAGAGTTCATGTTGCAGAATCAGAAACGTTAGCATTTTTCTTACTGTCACTGACGCCTAAGGCAAATGTTATGCTGCTCTGCTTTCTAGCCATGCATTTTAATTTTTCAGTCTTTGGCTTTTGTCAGAGCTCTAAGCCACAACCTAAAATATGAAGAATAACAATAGCTTTATAATAAGTCTTCAATTGCAAATGAACTTGGAGAGTTTTTTCAATAGATAATATGCTAGGCAAACTTTAATGAGAGTCTATTCAGGGGTCGGCAAACTTTTGAGACAGAAGAGCCAATCCTATACCTCAACAATCTGAAAATGATAGCCATCAAGAGATTTTTGCAAATAAAATCACCATTATCTGAATAATAAATACCCTTTAAAATTTGTATAAATCAAACTATGATAGTTTTATTTTCATATGCAATTTTACTTCAGAGTCAAATATGGGAACTGAAAGAGCCGCATATGGCTAAGAGCCACAGTTTGCCGAACCCAGTCTATACTTACATATCATATTATCTTTGACAAATTTTAGCTTTCCTGTATCTTAAAATTATTAAAACTCTGCATAATAAAATAAATTAGAAACACAATGTTCTGGTGAGCTAAAGATAAGAAATTATCAGTGATTTCCAATCAATCATTAAGACCATTTGTTACTAAACAAAACTTAAACTTCCATGTTTAAGATTATACACACACACACACAAAAAGATTATACACAACATTAACAATTTGAGGGTTTCTTCCCTAGAATATCTGTCATTAAGGAAGGTTCATAAAATATCATCTTGAAAATTAGAGAGAAAATTTAAATCCTCATTTCCAGCATGTCAATTACCAAAAATCTGCTTACCGTGGTATCTGAAGCCTCAGACTGCACATCTATGTTTAGCGATGTGCTCTCAGCTACAGAACCAGATCCCACAGCTGAATCTACAGTCCGAACATCCTCCTCCTCATTTTCTCTAGCCTGAAATATTTTAGTGGTATAAATCATACAACTATTAAAAAGGGCAATAAAACGTTATAATGGATGGCATGATTTTTTTAAGTAGACTCCTTTGGGTGGCATCAGAATGTCATTATACACTAGGTACACAAGAAAAATAACATCATATATTGTTAAAATGACATAAAACTTACAAGGATTTTTTGGAGAAATTTCATATATGACTTTTCTTGTTCTTTAAGATGATCTATTAGATGAGTAAGACGCTCAACATTAGCAGATCTTTCATTTTTTTCCACAAGATCTTCCCGCATGGAACTAGCCTTAGTAATATAGTCACGAATTTGGACAAGCCTGCTTACAATCTACAGATGCAGAAGGGAAAGGGGATAAGCACAGAAATATAAAATATATAAAAGGGCATAATTAACATACTCAGAATAGAGCATTCACAGACTTTTAAAAAACATACATTTACAGAGTTTGTACTTCAAAATCAATAGCCAAAACTATCTCTAGGTTTATTAAGTAAATGCTCACACACAGAAAATTTGAACCAAATCAGAAGCTACTCAACACAAAGATGACAATACTAAAACTCTAAATTACTGACAATTTAAATGTTTCACATTTTAATCTAGATTAGCTGAAAATTTTATTTAGATCTGTAAACCAAACACTGTTTAAATAACTTTCTTTCAAAAGTTTGTATTATATACCAAAAATACTCATATAAAAGCTGAGTTTTTCAGCACATTTTTAATGCAGTTTTTGTGATAAAATTTAATGCCTCGGCTGATATTCGGGTCGGCTTATACTTTAGTATATATGGTAAGTTATTTATGATAGTGAAAAGTACTATAAATTACTTTTGAAAGTTTTTTAAAAGTATTTAACATCACTACTAAAAAAAAGAGAATTCTTACAATTACTACCTTGTTCCTCATTCTCCTTTATGATGAGAAACTGGCAATATAGTAAGCCAGATAAACAGAAGCCTAAATTAATTTGGCCATGTAAGTTCTACAGTTATATCTGATATAAAAAGAAATTTACTCTATTTGGAATAAACCTGATACATTAATGAAAACCTTACCTAGGAGCACTGGTGGCAGAGTGGGTTACAAGGCGGGCTGCTAACCATAAAGTCAGCAGTTTGAAACCACCAGCTGCTCCGCAGGAGATAGATACAGCTTTTTACTCCTGTAAAGATTTACAGCCTTGGAAACCCACAAGCCAGCTCTACTCTGTCCTATAACGGTTCCTATGAATCAGAATGCACTCAATGACAATTTTTTATTAACTAAAGTTTTTATGTGTATAACCTAACAATGTTTTTAACCTTTGTTTTTATGTTTTCTGCTTGGTGAAAACAAAGACCAAATTAGATAAACAAAACAAAAAACCTCTCACAAGTGTTATTACCTGGCTGCTTTCCATTGCAGGCTCTCCTCTCCCATCTTCTTCAGAGACTTGACAGTTTTGTAAAAGGTCATTACTTAAAGCAGAGGCAAATAACTCCTTACATTGTGCTGAGCCAATGGTTTCTCTCTTTGGAGGACTTGTAGTAGCATCTTTGCTCTTATTAGTATTAATCTGCATAGGCAAAAAGTTGAAGGGCTTTCGGTTTTCACTAAGCTGACGTTTGTTGTTAGCAGCTGTTGCTCTACCTTGAGAGTCACTTCCAATGCTTCTCTATATATGAAAAAGAAACCAAATCCCACAAACATTACTTTTTAACAACACTAAAATCCCCGTTCAATTTCACCATCAGGTATCAATCAGGATAAGCTTCGTAGTTACAGATCAACAAAATCCTTTAAGATGCTCTTTGTCTTTCTAAAAGGAGTCCTGGTGGGGCAGTGGGTTGAGTTTTGTGGTCATCACTGAAAGATTAGCAGTTCAAACCCATCAGCTATTCCGCAGGAGAAATATAATGTCGTTTGCTTCCATAAAGATTTATAGCCTTAGAAACCCTGTTGAACAGTGGTACTTATGTCCTATAGTGTGACTGTAAGTCACGATTGATTGACAGTAGATTTGGTTCTGGTTGCTTTTCTACCCTACAACTGGCAAGAGCACTTCAGAAAGCTAAGGACCATGATGTAGCCAGTCATGCATACTCACTGGGGTTCCAAAGACTAGGGGACTCTGGACATTGGAGCGCTCTTTTGGGGGCTTCCAGAATTGATGAGATATCCATGCAGGGAGGTGTGGCATGTCCCTAAGAACAACCAAGTCTAGTGCCAGGACTGCTCAAAGACCTCCCCTGATTTTATCTCTAGCCTTGTATACTTTCTGATTATATTAACCAGGTAACTTTAAGTATGAGCAATAGTCCCTACAAATTTGCAAGCCATTATAACAAAAATAATGAAAACACGGGAGCATTGAGCCAGCAGAGGCTGGCATTGCAATTTGAATTTGTGTAGAACCAGTGCTGAGTAACTGATGGTCAGGGACACTGCACTGGCAGTCAATGAAGGACAGTCTTTCTACCTTATAATCTAGCCCTGGGGAGACTAGAGAGAAAGAAAAGGGAGACAGGCTGGGAAGGAGTTGTGCAGATTCTGGGGCCCACAGCTGATCCTTAAAGACCTGGTCTTGGGTGGTCAGGGATGTTTTGACCTAGCCAGGATTGCTGAGTGAGGTCTGTCCTAAACGGCTGGTTAGGGTTAGAGGGGAGGATTTTCACAAAAATGGCTGGATAAAGAATGGAGATGTGGGAAAGTTAGGCCTGAATCTATTTCTGGTTAGGAACTTCATGCCAACCTTGGCTACGCAATATAGAGGAGGGGTTGGCCTCCCTGGGGGATGGACAAAAGAACAGTGGGTGAAGGGAAACATCAAACAGGGTAAGACATGAAAAAATAATAATTTATAAATTATCAAGGGTTCATGAGGGAGGGAGGGGAAAAATGAGGAGCTGAAAAATGCTTTGAGAATGATGATGGCAACAAATATACAAATGTGCTTGACACAATGGATGAATTGTGATAGGAGTTGTACGAATCCCCAATAAAATGATTAAAAAAAATAAAATAAAGGAGGAGTTGGTCCACCTTGTCCCTTTTATACTGCAGTTTGTAGGGTTGTCCTCACACACTTGCTATTCCTCATTTCACCAGTTACAAACGAACTGATGACTATGAACAAGGTTAGTCTAAATTAAATACCAGAATTAGGCACCAGTTATAACACATTGATAATCTTACTTTATTGCCTCTCAACTAGATAAATCAACTTATCTAATTTAATATGAACATAAGCATAAAGATGTGTCTATATGAAGACTTATCTGAAGAAGTACTCAGCTTAGTATCTGGCACACAGTGGTTAGTACAAATGAATAAATGATATAAGAGGGTGTACCCACAAAGAAATGGAACTGTGATGGGGAAGCAGAGCTTTCCTAATAGGCATTTTTTCCGCTAGTTGATTGATTTATCAAGCAACTCTTAGTCGCTTGAACCTTGATCAAGGTTCTCTCTGGTCACAGTGAATTGTCGTGAAAGCAGTTTCGCATGAACCTTTTTTGTGTGTGTGATGGCCGATTTAAGAACAGCATGTTGCTGTGAAAATTTTGTTGCCTGCTTGGGAAAAATGCCACAGAAACTGTTGTGAGGTTGAACATAGCTTACAAGGACAGTGCGATGGGGAAAACTCATGTGTACGAGTGGTTTTCTCATTTCAATAAAGGTGAAATGTCGATTGGTGACGAACTTCTGTCAACTTCCTGAACAGAGGAAAATGTCAGCTTGTTGTGCATTTGGAGTTCATTCCACCAGGTCAGACTGTTAATCAATCTTTTTATTTAGAGGGTCTAAAAAGACTGTATAACAGTGTGTGACAAAAAAGGCCTGATTTGTGGCAAGTGGGGGAATGGTTTTGCCACCACAATGCACCTGCTCATGCAGCCATCTCAGTGCACCAGTTTTTGGCAAAAAAACAGCATACCTCTTTTGTCCCATGCACCTGACTCCCCTGACCTCGCTCCGTGCGATTGCTTTTTGTTTTCGCAAATGAAGAAGGACATGAAAGGACAGCAATTTGACAATGTAGAAGAGGGGAAGAAAAAAACAAGGGAGGTGCTGCCAGCCATCCAAACAGATGTTTGAAAATATTTCCTCCAAGAATGGAATCACAGATTTGACAAATGTATTATGTGTAATGGAGAGTACTTTGAAGGTGACAAGGTTGTTTTGTAAAAAAAACTTAAATATATAGCTTTGGGGAAAAAATTCCATTTTTTTTAGGGTTCCCCCTTGTATTCATCATACCAGACTTCAGTCAATCTCCACATATAGTCAAAAACTTATCCATGCAAAATACAAATCTGAGTAAAGCATTTTCAAAAAAAAAGAGGTTCTGTTTGCTTTGCATCAGTGATTAAAAATGCAAAAACAGTTTTAACCTAAACTGGAAAGAGATAACCCTAAGCCAATGAGAAATACACCACTGAACTGGATATTCCAATTTGCTTATATAATATTTTTCATTTCTAAAGTGAGTAATTTAGCTTCATAAATAAAAGCAATTACGGTTGTCAAATAACACAGAAGTTAAGAGTTCTGAAAAGCTTGTCTTTAGCACGTTAAGGAATTAGACCTCATTTCCCTCAAAAGAAAGTACAGCAGTACTGTCACCATGGATCAACCATTAAAATTCTTTCATATACACCAAATCTTTTCTACAAAGACTACACAGCTCAATTATTCTAAAGATACATTGCTTAACCTATTTCAAGTACTTCACAAATTTAATTTTTAAAATAAGTCACAAACCTGATCTAAATCACTGAAGTTTATTCGTTGTTTAAGTTTCTCCAATTCTGCCTGCTCTGGGACAGACATCTGAGTCATGTATCGACTGTGTGGGAACGTATGTGGAGTCTTTGTTCTTCGCCTTCCAACTCCTGGTGAGGATTCCGGAGAAATATCATTCGTTACCCTTTTACCACTTTCTACCAACTTTTTCTTATTCTTTTCTGATGACCTATTTGCCTTCTTTTGTGGGCCGCTCCAGTCCTTTAAAAAAAAAGAAAGAATTAATATAATCTCCACCAAAACAGGAAAATAATTTAGTAAGTTTTAAGAAAATTTGACCAATCTTAAAATTAAAACAGTAAAAAGTATGTTTCTTCCAATCTCTTATACTACTTACTCTACCCTATCCTGCTGTAGTGGAATGGAATTTCTTAATATAGCTCTTTTACCCAAATCTCTGTAACTCTTACCAAATGATTGGGTGAGACTATGCAAACAGGGTGTGTGCTAACACTAATAAAGGGGATAGGTAAGTTTTGGTTACTACCCACCTCCCAGGCTATAAGATGAGCCATCCTCGAAGCAGGATGAGAGAAGCAGCAGAGAGAAAAAGTGCAAAATCTTGGGAGACCATGTGCAAGATCGCTAACATGCTAGAGACTGCTGACACCAGATGCACCAAAGACTGTGGCATGGAGACTCAGAAGCAGTGCTGAGACTATGGGATACCTTCTCACTTTGACTCGAGACCATGGTACTATATAGCACAAGCAGGCTGGTTTCCTGGTGCATGAATGCAAAGGCCAAGGGACCCTATCTATGGCTGAGAGACTGAGGACTGGAGAGAAATTTGGTTGCTGGAAGAAGGCAGGTGTTGCTGTGGACCAATGAGTATATCCTTACTGTTTGCTGATCCTGACTTGTGGTAACCTATTAATTTCCCTAACATAATCCCTTAATTATGAATTCTGTGCAGTCACTACAATGACTCATCAAACCCAGCATAGATAATAGTGTCATGGGAGAAACTCTTGATGCCAGATAAAGGTAAAAAAGGCTGGAGTTGGAAGGCGTGTCTGACCTCGGCTTCGTGGATGCAGGAAGTCAGAGATGCCCAACTCTATTGCTATTTATTGTACTTTCCTGCAGATGACTAGGAGAAAAAAAATCAAGGCGTTCTACTCCCGTATAAAGAGTTACAGTCTCAGAAACCCACAGAAACAGTTCTACCTTGGCCTATAGGTTCACTACGTGTCAGAATCAACTCTATGGCAGTTTTTGTTTGTGTCTTTAAAAAAATAAATGGCTACAAATTGGGATAAGTGTATTTTAAAATTTCAAATTGGGAGTAAGAAACAAGTATCATATAACAGCAATCACTATTAAAATGTTGAGTGACTGCCAGTGCAAACCATGTACATTATGTGTTCAAGAGAGAAAGTTGGTCTGTGGACAGAAAGCTGTACTAAGCAGAAACACTAAGAAGCGAAGAGTAAAAGTAGTGAAAAAGCAACACCTGACAACTTTCCAGTACCTTTATCCAGCCCCTTCCTGAAATCCAGCTGTATTCCTTGACTTTAGTGTCCATAAAACACCTTTATAACTTTGTAATAAAGTTAGATTAAGTTAATCAACTTAATTTCTATACCTGGTATACAACTTGTCTTCAACTCATAAAATTAATACAGAGCCTATTGTTTCCTAATATTTTAATTAGGAAGGAAAAGGGGTTTATACCCACTCTCGGTGAGTTAAATTTGCCTAAATCAAGGGAAAGTCATGTTTAAAGTTCATAGCCAACTATACGCTGTCAATAATGAAATATCATACCATATTATTCAGACGGTCATCTACAAGTTCATTGCTCCAGTTTGGTAAATCTGGATTATTCATGTCTTCCTCAAAAGGACCTCCTCCTGTAGCCATACTGGCTTTTTATAGCAATTGATTTCTGCAAAAAACAAGTAAAAACTAAGCCTCAACACATAGAACAAAGTTCAATTTTTAAAATCATTCCATGAAGCTTAACCACATAAAATAATCGCTTAAAAGCTGGTTTTACAAGATAAAAAGCAGCACTCTCAACCTCATACCATAAACAAATTGATGTAGCAGTTGCAGGCATGTTAGGGGTAATGAGGCTGTAACACTGAGGTCTAAATCAAATTTGATTACCGACTTGCTCAAACCTTGCTCAGTTTAAAGTATCTTAAAGAGCACAGAAACTCAATTACATTTTTTAAAAATTGAGTAGCCATTGTGATGGGATGGGGGAAGGTAAACCTCATGTGCACTGGCCTGAGCAAAGCTGCCTTACCCAGTAGTAGCACCAAAATAATAAATTAATTAAAAATAGATAAATACGAAAATAATCAAATAGCTTTCAAAAACAGAACAGACAATAAGGGCAGAGAATACATAACGATAGGGAAATAATCTATATACATTTATTTATGTTAAGTATCAAGGTAGCAGATAGGCATTGGGTCTCGACTCAAATACTCCCTCAAAGCAAGAACACTTTGTTCTAATAACCTGGCATTCCATGATGCTCACCTTCCCAACACTATCACTGAAGACAAAATGGGTACATAAGCAAATGTGGTGAAGAAAGTGGATGGTGCCCAGTATAAAAATATATAGTGCCTGGAGTCTTTTTTTTTTTTTTTTAACGTTTTATTAGGGGCTCATACAACTGTTATCCCAATCCATACACACATCAATTGTGTAAAGCGCATTTGTACATCGTTTCTCAAAACATTTTCTCTCCATTGAAACCCCCGACATTAGGTCCTCATTTTTCCCCTCCCCCCTCCCGCATGAGCCCTTGATAGTTTACAAATGGGTATTTTGTCATATCTTGCCCTGTCCGACGTCTCCCTTCATCCACTTTTCGGTTGTCTGTCCCCCAGGGAGGAGGTCACACACAGTTCCATGTAATCGGTTCCCTCTTTCCTACCCATTCTTAAAGGCTTGAAGATAAACAAGCGACCATCTAGCTGAGAAGCAACAAAGTCCACATGGAAGAAGCACACCAGCCTGTGTGATCATTAGGTGTCGATGGGATCAGGTCTCAGGCATCAAAGACCCAGAACAAAAAATCTTATTAATGTGAATGAAGAGAACTGCAGAGCAGAGACCCAAAGCCCATCTGTAGACAATTAGACACCCCCTTATAGAAGGGTCACAAGGAAGACACGAGCCATTCAGGGTGCAGAATAGCACTGATAAAACATACAACTTTCCTCTAGTTCTTTAATGCTTCCCCCCCACCCCAACTATCATGACCCCAAATTAACCTTACAAATCCTGCTAGACCAGAGCATGTACACGGATACCGGTAAGAGCTGGAAACACAGGCAACTCAGGACAGATAAACCCCTCAGGGCCAATAATGAGAGTAGCGATACCAGGAGGGGAAGGGGAAGGTGGAGGGAGAAAGGGGAAACCAATCACAATGATCTACATATAACCCCTCTAAGGGGGATGGACAACAGAAATTGGGTGAATGGAGACATAGGTCAGTGTAAGACATGAAAATTTTAAAAATAAATTATCAAGGGTTCGTGAGGGAGGGAGGGGAAAAAATGAGGAGCTGATACCAAGGGCCCAAGTAGAAAGCAAATGTTTTGAGAATGATGATGGCAACAAATGTACAAATGTGCTTGACACAATGGATGGATATATGGATTGTGATAAGAGCTGTATGAACACTCAATAAAATAATTTAAAAAATAAAAAATTGATCCATGCCAAGAATAGGTAAAGAGTCAAGGACGGGAAAAATCTGAAAGAAATAAAGTATATGGTTAATATTTTTACTATATAAAGAAGTTTAATAAATCAAACTCCCAGAAAAATAATAAGGTGCAGTATAGCACCCACGAAACACACAATCATTCCTCGAATTCCTGAGAGATCGCCCCCTACTGCCCTCCAATGATCCAGTTCTATCTTAAAAATCTGGCTAGACCAGAGAACACACATTTGTACAGATAAGAGCTCTTGACACATGGAACTTAGGACAGATAAAACCCTCAGGAAAAGTAGTGGAAGTAGCGATATCATGAGGGTAGGGGGATGGTCCAGAAGAAGGAAGACGGAGAAAGGGGAAATCCATCACAAGGTTGGATATATAACCCACCCCTCACTCCCAAAAGGGATGAATAACAGAAATGTGGGTGAAAGGAGACAACGGACAGTGTACGATACGAAATAATGATAATATATAATTGATCAAAGGTTCACGAGGGTGAGAGAGGAGGGGGGAAAAAGAGGAGCTTATACCAAGTATAAAATGTTTTGGAAATGATGATGGCAACACATACAAATATGCTTGATACAACTGATGGAATGTTTTAAGAGCTGTAAGAGCCCCCAATAAAGTGATTAAAAAATAATAACTTGATATTATAAAAATTTTAGTAAAGCCCTCTGCAAATTAAAATACCAAAAATCACTGCCCTCAAATTGATTCTTACTCACAGCAACCTTATAGGGCAAAGTATAATTGTCCCATAGTTTCAAATGTTATCAATTTGAATAGAATCATACTGCTTGCTACATCTTTCTCTCATAGAGCAACAGGTGGGTCAGAACCATCCACCTTTGAATCAGTAGTCAAATACTTAAACCACTATACCACTCAACTCCTTGAAATTAAAAAATTACTAAGCTGGTAAATTTCATATAAATTACTTATAAACAAATCCTGATGACAGTAGAGGGATATACTGGAATTCTCATTCACTACAGTGAGAATAAGAACTGGTAAAAACCTATCTAGAGCATCACTGACAATACTGGTATCAAAAGCGAAAACTGGAGTTTTTTGACCTATTGATACCTAATCTAACAGCCTTAAATATGAGAAAATATATAATGAAGGAAGCTGCTTGTAATTCTGACAAATTGAACAGTAACTGTCGAACAGGATGCATACTAGAGACCTGGTGGCACAGTGACTTGAGGGTTTGGTTAACTCAAGGGTCAGGGGGTTCCTATGTTCCTTGAAAGTTCTAGGGGACAGTTCGACTCTGTCCTACATGGTCAGTATGAGTCAGAATGGACTCCATGGCAATCCATAGCCTCCAAAGTATAAAATGATAAAGGCTAGACAAGACAGCCTTTGGTGTATACCAGCAGTTCTCAACCTAGGGGTCGCAACCCCTTTGGGGGTTGAATGACCCTTTCACAGGGGTTTCCCGATTCATAAACAGTAACAAAATTATAGTTTTGAAGTAGCAATGAAAATCATTTTATGGTTGGAGGGGTCACCATAACATGAGGAACTGTATGAAAGGGTCACGGCATTAGGAAGGTTGGGAACCACTGGTGTATAACAAAAAAACCCTCCTATATAGACAAGACAAAAAGCAGTATGAAACTACACATATCTTGAAACTTTTAATCAGTTTTAAAAAAATACAGGCTACTAAAATGTTAGTATGAAAGCAATCCCATAGGTGTCGGAATGTGATTTTTCCTTTTTCCTCATTACTTTTACATACATATTTTATAGAAATACATGTAAGAATCATAAACAGAATTGATACCTATATATGAAATGTGAAAAGAAACATTTTACAACCGCTTCATCTAGGTGTGCACATAACTTATATTAAAGAATAAAACCTATTGCTGTCAAGTTGACCCTGACTCACGGTGTCAGCATAGAACTGCGCTCCATAGTGTTTCAATGTGGAGTTTGCTTTGAGCATCTAGTTACAGGCAATCACTTTGACAACTTCCAAAATAAGTTTCTTAAACAATTTTTAGATGTTATCTTAAAATGATTACTTAAAAGAATATTGATTACGCATACCCAGAAAACCAGGTTTCCATTCATTTTTTTCATCAACAATTTCTAAAGACAATTTTCAATGGCATCAGTTAGATTCCTCATATTGTGCCAAAGTTCTCGTTATTTGGTGTAATCATTAAAATCCTTTTAACTGCCCCCTCTCCTCTTCATCTATGCTATAGATTAACTGTCCATCTGGTGTCGTTTTCTAAAAGAACACAGTACTCAAGGATGACAATCTCTACATGTTGACCTAACTGGCTAGTTGGTTAAAAAGTGATTTCAGGGACTATTTTCGGCTCAAGGTTTAATCAGTATCTCAAGGAAACAATCTAGCAGATTCATCTGTCTCAAAGTGGTCCAGCTATTTGAAATCCTGGTATTTTCCTCCCTATCAGGATCCATCTATTGTGATTCTAATCAGACACATAGTAAATAAAGTCTTGTTTCAACCTAACCCCGCTGCCCTTAAGCTGATTCTAATTCACAGTGATCCCAGTAAACTGTAAATCTTCACAGGGGTGGAGAGCATCATCTTTCCACTGAGGAATGACTGGTGAACTGTCAACTTAACAGTTAGCTGTCCAAGGCTTACCCAACAGCACCTACCACCCCCTTCCTCAGGAGCACTGAAAAACTTCCTATATATCCTCGCATTCATTGCCCAACATTCCTTCTATTTCTCTGGCTGCAATAAAATCGCAATCTCCTCCGCCTTCCACTTCCATCCCTCCTAGAGCAATTCTCTAGAAAGATGCTACTCTTCCTACTTTGCCACGTTCAAGAAGATACCATTTGTAAATCATTCTTATTTAACTAATGCTTGACTTTCCTCTTTTAAACAATTAGCTAACAAACCTAAGATTCTCTCAATCCTGGGCACCATTTGCTGCCATCCATCACACAACACTCTTGAAGTTTTCTTGATAATTTAACAAATGGCTTGTGGTTTCACACTCTTCCTCATTCTAAGATTTACTTCAATTTCAACCGCCATATCATCATCTCTATTCCTAGACTGTTCCAGTCTAAATAATTTGTTCGAGATCCTTTCTCATATGGTAGTGTACACACTATCTCAAAGTGCACTTTCATTGCAAATCTCTCAAGTCCTCATTCCCACTGAACCTGCTCCTGGTCCTCTGGAGTATTTTTAGCTCTGTAATCATTCCTCTTCCTAAATCCATTTAGTCTCTTCTATCTTCCCTCACTTCCTTACTCAGATCCAAGAAAACCATTCCAAAAATGCCTTCCTTATATAAACCCATGACGTCCTCGCCTATATGCATTCTGTCAATTCACGATAACCTTCACTACCTTTTCCTGCTTCTATCAAATTGTGGGAAAAGTCGTAAAACAAAGACACTTCAGTCAAGCATTGGTATTTCTGACTAATCGACACCACAATGTCTTTTCCTACCATAATAGAAGAATTAATAATATATACAATATTGCCAAATTACCTGGTGAAGTAAACTAGTTTTTGTAGCACACACTGCTCCTTTCCTGCTCCACACTTCAAGTTACTTATGATTTCAAAGAGAAATCACTTTGGTAAATTTTGATCTACCAAATGTAAAGTGAATACTATACATATGAACTAAGTATGTTTCGAAAATCAGAAAAATGAAGGGGAAAACCAATTTAACAATATTGAACTCGAGTTTCCTAAAGCCTTTTGGAAAACCATGTACCATTCACAAAGGTTTAAGCCTCCCAAACGTCTAAGAGCCCACCACACAATAAAGTGTTATCCTCCCAAAAGTCTAAGAGCCCACCACACAATAAAGTGCTATCTTAATATCTACTTTGGAATAAAAAGATGTTACTCTATCATTTAAGATCCATGCCAAAGCTTACTCTATTCAACTTTCTGCCACTCAAAACTACTCGAGGTCTTTGTACATCGGAGGACGAAAAAGGGTATTTCGTGAGTGTTATGTAAAACGTATAAAAATAAACAGTATAATACAGTAATCTTATCACTACACATGCACAAGTTTACCTGCAGTTTAAATATGCAATATTCGAATGTATTTCTAGTGGCTCTCGTCGGCAGGACGGGAAAGAAGGGAGCAGGTGCACCTGAAGCTCTCACACCCCCTCCAGTAACCAGAGACTACCAAGAGGAGGAGGAGTTGGGAGAGCGGTTAAGCGGCGGGGGTGGGGGGCGGGATGTCAAACAGTCGGAGCGCCCAGAAAGCGCGCTTCTTTCAGCGCCCAAAAAACCCCCCTACACCACCGCCACAGACGTCAAAGCAGTCTAGAAAACCACCAACCAACCACTCAGGCACGGCCATCTTCGGAGGAGCCAGCCGCGAGCTCGGACGACCGGCCTCCCGAACGGGGCCTATCACCAAACAACTTCCGGCCAAGCCGTCACCAGCGCCCCGGGCCATTTGGCGTTTCGTCCCCGTCCCCGTCCCCCCGCCCAACTCCTGGCTGCTCCAACTGGACGCGCAGCGAGGGGAGGAGGCGTGTGCGCGCGCGCGTGCGCGGTGTTGTTACATTAACTTCCCTTCTCAAGGAGAAACAGCCTCCCCGGCCCCGTCGGCTCTGAGAACGCCCGAGACGGCCGAAATCACAGCACGGCCCAAACGCGAGCGGCGGGGCTTCTCGCCCGGCCCGCTCGAGAACCCCAAGTCCGGACGCAGGGGCCCCCACGGGGTGGAGTGGACCGGGTGGGAGAGAGGGAGGGCGGTGACCAGAGCCATAACTATGGCCTCTTCTCTGGAGAACTCGGCCCACACCCGAACCACCGCTCCGGCTCCGTTTCCTCCGCCCGCGATGGGGGTTTCCTAGAGCCCCCAAGACGCAGGGCGGCCTCTGGCTCGAGGCCGGGGGGCGGGGGGGCGAGGCCCGAAGGGGATTCTGCGGTCGCCAACGCGTCCCTAGATGCTCACCCGGGAGACGGCGAGTCGGCCCCAAGGGGAGGGCGGGCCGGCTGCCTGCCCTCAGGCTGGGAACGGAGCCGCAGGACGACCCCTGGAGCCCACAGAGGAGGCGTGAGCCCGAGCCCAGCAGGGTCAGGTGGCGGCGCGGCGACTCGCCCGCCCTACGGCGCGCCGCCGTCGGTTGCCAAGGGCCAGGGACGCGCAGGCATTACCTGTAAACGGAGCAGCCACTCCAGCCTAGGGCGGAAGAGCGGCCAGCCCCCCACGACCAGCCACCACGGCCCACCCTTTTGAGGCCGCAGCAGGGAAGCTCCACACGTCCCCCGGCTGCCTAGGGCCCAATGGCCGCCTTTTATACCCTAACTACACAGCGCCAACCGCCGCAGCCACCGCCATCTTAGGATCTCATTGTGGTGGGAGAAGAGGGGCGGGGGGACTGCAGAGGGGGCGACGCGCGGCGAGACGTGCGCCGTCTCCCCGGCAACGGCGGGGGCCAGAACTCGCTGGGGCGGGATCCGCAGCGCGAACGACGCTCTAGACGAGTCACGTGACCGGCCGAAGTCTGGCGTTACCTCAGCCTCTTGGCACTTTATCTTGGCTCGTTTGGATTACTCAGACAAGCAACCAGAGACTACATGTCCCATAATGCCCCTCGATCCCGTGCTGGAAGAACAGGTCGACCGTGAGGGCCGATCCTACAGATCCCAGCATGCCGTGTGCTCCCAAGCGCGGGTTTGAGGCCTGTGTGGAAGTGGATCCACGGCCACCGGAAAAGCCTAGTCGCTTTCTGGAAGCCCTGAGGCGTGTTCCTGTCCTTGGTTGGGATGTTAACCCCGACGTCGTCGGAAGGGGGAGAAAAGACCCGGATCACCTATTTCCCCTCACCAATGGATGAAAATCTAAGGAACTACGATCTCCTTCAGCCTCATAACATTTACGCATAAGAAAATAAATCCACGGGAGTGAAACCGTTTTTCAGAAGTCGTATAGCAGGCAGTGGGGGAAGTATAGCTGTTAACATTTAACATCATTTTGGATTAAGGGCTTATTTTTTCCTCAAAAACCAGGTGATTTTAATCAATTGTAAGGATTTGTCTCTGAAATCATCGTGTGCCGTGGATTCTGTTCCAACTCAGAAACACTATGGGCAGTTCATCTTTATGGAAAGTCGTTCATCTTTATGGAAGCTGCCACCCTTCTCTTGTACAGCGTTTCAGCTCCCGACCTTTCGGTTAACGTCCGGGCTCTGAAATCAGGTTCGGAGTGCCCTATACTACACTTTTTTCAGCAGCCCGTATGAAACTTAGCAAATGAACTTTTTGTTTAACCTAGTCAGGTACAATTCAGGTTCTCAACCTGAAAAAGTTGAAGGGCCCATCAGTTTTATTTGTATGTAAAGGCATTTTATTTTTCACATAGGACAAGTTTTAATAATGAGAGGTTTTCCTCATGATTGGACACATGGGACTTATCAGGAAAGAGGACTACTAGTCCCTTGAAAGTTCAGGATTCCATTCAGAGTGAGGAGTTGGAGTGTGATGTAAATAAAGGCTGTGGTGCTCAGAGCACAGAGCAACCAACTACAAGCAACCATCTTCATGGTAGTACTAGGCCCCATCCTAATTCTACCACACAATAAGATCGTGAGATGCTTTGGGGGCCTCGAGTACTTTATCTGTAATATTAAGGGTAGGATTGAAAATATTGCCTACTATCGAGGGATTCTATTTAAAAATATTAAGTTCCAGGCACAGTGTGAAGCACTTCATCTGCCATTTTCTTCCTTCACACAACTAGCCCAAAGAGGTTGCCATCCCATTTTACAAATGAAAGGCTAAAAAAATATTCACAAAATTCTAACCTCTCCGAGTTGTAGAGCCAGTTTTACTGCCAGGTCTAGCTGAGTGCTTAATCTTGGACAAACTTTTAAAATAAATAATGTGTGGGGAGAAGCACTGGCATGTGGTAAAGCCCACTGCCTTCGAGCCAATTCCTAATTATATGTGAGTCATCTAGCGGCCCTATGTTGTTTTCAGCGGCACTTCCTCTGAAGTGGTCAGCCCATTCGTTCTTCATTGTTCTTAATCTGGAAGCTCTGTTGAAACCTGTTCACTTTGGGTGACCCTCTTGGCATTTGAAATAGCGTTGACATAGCTTCCAGCATCACAACAATTTACAAGCCACCACAGTATGACCGACTGACATGTTGTTAGGTGCTGTCAAGTTGATTCTAGCTCAATAGCCCTGTGTCCGACAGCATGAAACACTGCCAGCTCCTGTGCCATTCTCTCAATTGTTCTTAACATCTGAACCCTCCCATGCAGACGCTACGGTAATCCATCTTCCCAAGTTCTCTTTTAGAATATTCTGGCTATACTTCTTCCAAGACAGATTTGTTTGTTGTTTTGGCAGTCCATGATACATTCAATATTTTTCATCAACACTATAATTCAAATGCATTCATATAGGACAAGGTAGGTCCTTAGGTTTATGAAGACTAACTCTTTATGGGAGTAAAAAGCCTCATCTTTCTCCTGATGTGATCTCTAGTGGAATAGAAATAAATGGTCACCTAATGGCACAGTTAGGATGCTAATCACAAGCTGACCAGTTTGAACCATCAGCTGCTCCATGAGAGAAAGATGAGGCTGTTCGCTTCTGTAGGTCACTATGAGGCAGCATCAAATCTATGCAATAAGTTTAGAGTTTTTGAGAAACATTGTCTAACAGTTATTGTTGTTTCAGTAGAATTCTCACTATGCATGCAGGGAACCGAATTCTGTTCTTATCCAAGGTACCTATGGGCTGTGTTAGGTTGACTAAAGAAACAAATCCAGTGACACTCATATATGAAAGAGCTTTATATCAAGGAGTAATTATATATCAAGAAAGGATCCCAGACCAGTCCAACTCAAGTTCATAAGTCCTTCAGGTTCATACAGCTACATGCAATGATGCAGAATGCAGATCACAGGTAATCGATGCAGTCACCAGGTCAGTGGAAACACACAAGGCAACTCTCAGGATGGCCAGCAAACAGGAAGATGAAGGCAGAGAGAAGGTTGGGGGAGGTTCCCTGATCCCTCTTTATGAGAAGACCACCCCCCAAGGAGGCACTGTCAAGGCTGTGGCCAGATCAACAGGCTGGATACCACAACTGCACTCATATATCCTCAAGTTGACATAAAACTATAGCTACCACAGGGGCAGACACCATCTATCGGTCAGTGGGGACTTTGTGTTGCTATGATGCTAAAAAAAAAAAAAGCCTTGGTGGTGCTGTGGACTAGGGAATGGGCTGCTAATCACACGGTCAGTGGTTCAAACCCATGTATAACTCTATAGGGGAAAGATGAGGCTGTCTGCTCCCTGAATTTAGCCTTAGAAATCTTTTATACTCTAAGAAACAACAGGGTCACTATGATTGGGAATATGGAGCCCTGGTGGTGTAGTAGGTACATGTTGGGCTGTGATCAGCATGGTCAGCAGTTTAAAACCACCAGTAACTCTGTTTGAGAAAGACTGGGCCTTCTACTCCCATAAACAGTTACAGTCTTAGAACCCACAGCAGGTTGCAATGACTCCGCAATGACTCCATCCACGGCACTGAGTATGAATGGGAAGAAACTCTATAGCTGTTGATTTTTTTTTTTTGAGAGCTTGTTTGGAGGTTCCAAAAAGGAAGCATATCTGCTTGTATACCCTTGACCTAAGGACAATCCTCCTCTTGCTGCAGGAAGGATGCCCATGGGTCAGTGAGGGAGGAAGGTGACACCCACCTAGCCACCCAGATCAGCCGAATTAACCCGGTGGTCAATTGAGTGACATAGGTAGCAGCAAGGTCATCACCCTCACATCCAAAAGGAAGTTTTTTGATTTTATGAAGCTGAATAGGTTTCCGAGAAGCTTCCAGACTTAGATGGACTAGGTAAAAAATCCAGCCAGTGAAAACTCTATCCATATAGAGATGACACAGGACCAGACAATGTTTCCGTTCTATTGTGCAAGGACATAGTTGCCCCAAGTTGGAGGTGGCAGGTGGCAACAAACATTGTCTATACATCTCCTAAATAATGAGTCACATATTTTTAGGTCCTGGTGGCGTCCTGATTATGAGCTGGGCTGCCAACCACAAGGTCAGCAGTTGGAAAAGATCAGCTGCTCCTTGGGAAGAAGCAGCTTTCTACCCTGGAAAAGAGTGCAGAAAGTCTCAGAAACCCACAGGAGCAATGCTGCCCTGTCCAACGGACTCCCTATGAGTTGACATCCACTCAATTGGAAGTGAGTTTGGTCTTTGGTTTTGTCATCAAAACAAACGTAATTAAAGCTTCACCAAAATCATTATTGCTATTAATCATTGTGTTTTCTGAATTTGTAGACCTAAAATTGTCCGTACTATTATGTCTGGTTGATAATGATCAATAAGAAGAGTCAGAAAGTCTTACGTTAAAAAAAAAAGTGCCTTCAAATGAAAAGGTGGACACCACCGATCTCAGCAGGGAAGGAGGAGAAAAAAAGAAACGAACAAACCTGAAAACGATGACATTATCACTGACTTCAAACAGCTGAGCATCTACTTTAGAAACCATATGTAGAAAAGAATTCTCTTAGGATCAGTCGTAGTATCTGACTATGCTAAATAAATGGACAGTGTTTAGGGATTTAGAGAAAAGTAGGGGTATATATTGCCTCGAAGATAGTGGTCGAGCCGGGCATTTCCATGTAGGCAGAAATGTAGATGGGAAACAGAGTGGCCACTCAGAGGTGAGTTGAACTGAATTTCAGTTTAAACCTGGGGTGAGAACAGCACCACGCCTGCATTAGCGCAGTCTTGGTTCCTAGTGCTATTGTAGCAGGAATACCACATGCTGGTGGCTTTCAAGAGCAGAAATTAATTTTCTTACAGTAGTAGGTGTTAGAAGTCCAAATCGGCGTTTCTGTCATCTTGGTTTTGCCTTGAGATTCCCAGGCCATCTTTGGTTCTTGGAGATGTTCACACAGCACGTGTCTGCTCTAGGATGTGATTTTTAAGAACCCAGAAGTGATCAGATTAGGTGTAGGGCACACAGGCTGAATGGCCTCGTGAGCATAAGAAAGAAAACAGGTGTAGGCAGGCTTCAGATTCCAACATATAGTTGGAGGAGTCACAATTCAATGCATAACATCGATAGATGGAAGAAGGCCGTCAAAGGAAAGGAGCGTGCCACAGACAGAGGACACATCCAGAATAAGGCGGCGGACAATGCCGCCCGGCTGAAGCAGGGGAGTCATACAGGGTGACGAATGCAGAGATGGTAGAAACCCTACTAATGGGCAAGGACAAACAATACAAAGCTTTAAACACTGGTCTGAAGAGTGTAGGCTTTGTTGT